CATTTCTGAGCCACTCGTCCTGCAGCTGTTAAAACTATCCTAGTGACAGCTCATTATATTGTTTACAAGCGTTCAAAAGCATTTTGGTGAGAATTCTCCAGAAAAAAAGTTATTCGTGATGGAATTCAAGTGCGATAGTAGGATTTCTTCATATTTGGCTGAAAACCACAAGTGCCTATCTGTGCCTCGTACCATCGCTCGTTACCGACTTCAAGGAAGTGGGCGGAAGAAAACAACAACATCGGCTGAAAGCGGCTGAAAAATGGCTCGTGAGCTGAACATATCGCAATATTCCATTCGGCAAATATTAAAAAATGAGCTCGGGGTAATGCCAATGAAGTTCCAAAAAGTGCAAGAACTTATACCGCAACAGAAGGAAATTAGACTCAGGTAAAGAGTTGCTACGCTTGGCCGAAAGTGATGAACTGAACCGTTGTACAGCAGTTTATAAACAAACAAAATGATCGTGTTTACTTGCCAAAGAGGTCAGCTGAAAATGTGTACCTTCGGTTGGCCACCAGAAATGAAGCGCCGGCCATGGTGATGATGTTGGCCGCCATAACAGTCGATGGTGGCTCTCCGCTCGTATTAATCGACCGTAGCATCCAAATAAATACCGAATATTATCGCGAAAATATTCTGGAGGGTGTATTAAAGCCTTGGACACGCAAACATTTTGGCCGCAGACCTTGGACATTCCAACAGGACTCATCACGCACCACCCAAGAATGGTTCCTCGCTTCATTTCCAGCGCACAATGACCACCAAAATCTCAATCGGATATTAAATGCGACCTGCATTTTATTCACAAAAATGCTTGGACTGACAGATGGACAGATATGCATAAATAAATCGACTCAGAAAGTGATTATGTGAAGATCCTCAAAAGTAACTATGGGTTTGCCTCGCATCCTTCTCCATGTTGCAAACAAATGCCCTTACCACTATGTATGTGTTGTAGGATATCACCATATATCTAAGTTTAATGGTTTTCAAGAAAATTACATTTCCAATATTGCATTTACGTTTTTACTGGTAATTTAACACGTTTCCAATCAAAGTCAAAATCTCCGTTGTTACTTAAATTTTTTATTTTGTTTTTTTTTTTTTTTAATATACAAGAAATGTTGTAGATTAAAATTCGTTATGAGTATCTGAGCAAAATAAATGTATAAAACGTAAAAGTTATATTAAATTATGATTCTTTTTCAAAATCTAAAAATTAAACTGTACATGTATTCAATTTTGAAAAAAAAAAACAGGATGTTATGTTATAGGTTAAATTCCCATTAAAGCAAAAATTATATGTATAATTTGCTTAACTTTTTATATTTTAAATATACTGGCTACCGCAGGGGGCTAAACAATTGATTTCCCTCGGTCCAATTTTATGGTTCTATGGCTACATCTCTAAATAAACAAATAAAATAAGTAAATTTGTTTATTTCATCATTTCCATGTTTTGACGTTCATCAATCGCCTTGATTTCCCAATATAAAAGTCAATTTCAACAACCACACAACTGCTTGGAATATTCACAGTGGGTTATCTCTTACCACCCACTAACATCCACAGATATGTGTTTCATTGTTATGTCAATATCTTTGAGATACTAAAGTTGGTGTGTGTCTCTTTCTTGCATGCTCTCAAACTCACACACGCACACATTTTAATATCCACTAACTAATTGAAAACAAATTTGAAGTATATTTCTTTTTTTTAGGAGGAGGGGGTTTTCTTTTATGATCGATCATAAAAGTAACTTAAGCGTTTTTCGTGATATAATCTATCAAAAGAGTTTTTCAATGAATAAATAAACACACGCACACAAACAGCATGTGAGAAAACTCCTACCCCCCAAAAATAGACAATGTAAACGATGTTATAGGAAAAACACTTTAGCCATCACATCAGGGAACTAACCAAATATTTATGGTTAATTCTCTTGTAGGGAGACAAAATAACAACAATAATATGGAACTACTTAGCACAGCACGCAAGGAAGATTTACGATTGCAATAAATAATTTTCCAAAAACAGTCAACTGACAAGACTTCAAAACGAAAACAAATAGTCAATGTAAACGAATATCAAATCGTTTAGGAGAGAGAGAGAGAGAGAGAGAGAGAGAAAAGAGGCAGCCAAAGCCACCAAAGTCGTGTTGTGGCCATAAAATTGAAACTATGGAGAAAGAATCATCCACAAAGAAATTTGAATCTAAACTTTTTTTTGATAAGCTGTAACTAAAAACCCTTAAAACGCCAGGTTTAATGTTTTTTGAAAAAGTTTCATTTTTTATTACAATTTTAAGTGGTGGCTGCTGCCAATTTCGTTAAATGGTGTCTCTCGTCAGCCATCATATCTCGTTTTAATACAATTGACAATTTGCCATTAAAATTTATTTCAAACTCACGACATTTTTAGGATATCGTTTATATGACTCCGAGATGCGGGACAATTTGATGAACACAACAATGTACCACCAAACACCTGATGCTATCTCCCATCCGCAAATCGTGAGGTCTAAAGACAAACTTAATTATTATACACTTTCAACATTTCAATAAAGTTTTGGACAAATATTTTGTTAACCCTCCCCCACCCAAAAAAGGAAAAATGACCACAAATTCAATATTATATTTATTCAAATGCCATGTCTGTAAATAAATAAGTCATTTGGTCAATATTTAAATTAATTTTAAAATATTTACTTTAATGCATGTATTTAAAATCGTTTAAAATAAACATACCCAGTGATGTGTTAAATTCATTTGCACACAAATAAATAAATATATCAATTGTTGCAAATAGTAAAGTTAATTTTTTTAAAGTGGTTAGTTTATTTAGCCATTATGTTTGTTTAAATTAATTTCGACTGTTTAAAATCGTGACAACAATTAAATAGTTTTAAAGGCAAATCACTTCAAAGAGAAATTTCACAGGGACTATGGAAAGGAATTCTACCAAGAAATTTATTTTGAAGTGGCCAAAATGTGCCTCGGGAAACAACGAGAGGAAGTATCGAAAGGTGTCTTCGAAAGATATTTGAATTCCATATTGCGACGTCGAGAAGAGTATCAAGTTTGGTACACCGTAGTATTTCTATGAAACTAAGTCCGTATTCACTACACTCTTCCTGCCACTTCCGATACAAAGGGTCACCGCTTTCAAGGCAAATAATTAACCTTATATAGACGGGGTTAAAAAACTGCAAAAAAGTCAGACGCCATAATTTTTACATATTATTATTTTTTTTAATTTTCTTGAATAAAAGTAAGTAATGTCCGAAATAGCATCAAAATTTAGAATATGTTTAGACTTTTTCGAATTGATCACCTTTGGCACGAATTATGGCCTTCACTCGCTGCCCGAATGTTTCTCTTCTGTATTTTGGCCCATTCCTGGCAAAGCGCTTGCTTGAGGTGATCGACCCTTTGGTATTTTTTAGTGCCAACCTTGCTTTCCAAAATACACCAGACACAATAGTCCAACGGATTGGTATCCGGAGATTTTGGTGGTCATTGTGCGCTGGAAATGAAGCGAGGAACCTCATTTCGAAATCATTCTTGGGTGGTGCGTGCTGAGTGCGATGATGCTGAGTCCTCTAGGAATGTTCAAGGTCTGCGGCCAAAATGTTTGCGTGCTCAAGACTTTTATACACCCTCCAGAATATTTTTGCGATAATAGTCGGCATTTATTCTGATACTACGATCGATTAATACTAGCGGAGGCGACCATCGGCTGTTATGGCGGCCCACACCATCACCATGGCCGGCGCTTGAGTTCTGATGGCCAACCGAAGGTGAACATTTTCAGCTGACCTCTTTGGCAAGTAAACACGATCATTTTATTTGTTTACAAACTGCTGGACAACGAATGTTTTCTCATCGGAGCGGAGGAAACCAAATTCGGCAGTTCAACACTTTCGGGCAAGCGAAGCAACTCTTTAGCTCTTATGAGTCTATTGCTGTGTCTGTGGGAATTTCAATGGCTTTACCCCGAGCTCATTTTTCAATATATGCCGAATGGAATATTGCAATATGTTCAGCTCACGAGCCATTTTTTTGTCCACTGCGACGCGGGTTTCGATCAAGTCGCTTCTTTACTTTTCGAACCATTTCTTCTGATGTGGCTGTTTTCTTCCATTCACTTCCTTAACGTCGGGCTACGCGACCAGTATCACGGTATTGAGCGATGGTACGAGACACAAAAGATTTATTCACATTTAAATGCTGGTGTGCTCTAACGATAGCCACTTGTGGTTTTCCAGCCAAATATAAAGAAATCCCACTATCGTGCTTGAATTCCATAACGAATAACTTTTTTCTGGAAAATTCTTACCAAAATGCTTGTGTACGCTTGTAGACAATATATTGAGCTGTCACTGGAATAATTTTAACAGCTGTCGGACGAGTGGCTCGGAGAAGAGAGCAGTCTGAAGTTGGTTGCAGATCTTTCATCTCACCCTGTAGAGTGAATTTTAAACAAAACATAAAATTGGAGGATCTTTTTATGAAAAGATTAGTTCTAGTTACAGAGGATTTTTTTATACAAAAATTCTGCCCTCAGCTTATGTAAAAAATAAGCCTCTCGGTAAAAGAGAACTTTAAATTCTATTGTTTAATTTTATATTTTTTAATTACATTGATTACTCTATTAATAAGGGAGTAATCTAATTGACTGACTGACTTAACGACAAAAGCTGGAATCTTGAAATTTTGGGCGAGGGTCACTCTTTGTCCGAAGGTGTCAGATAAGGCTGGGTTTTTGGAAATTCTTAATTCTTAAATAGTCCTTTAGAGAAAAGCGATATTCTTTGGTGCTTAAATGTCTACTAATCTCCGTTTATAATCAACGACCAAAAGGATCTATGGTCGATACTGTCAAAGACTGCTCACCCTAACGCTGTTGGACAAACAAACAATTTCTCAATAGCAGCTCAAAATTGCTTTAAACAAAACTTCCCTTACGAAGCAATACAACTTTTCAATTTCTCGAGATTTCTTTCGAAAATTTTAAATATTTTTTATTCCATTTTTTTAATTCGTCAAATAAGTCCTTTAGAGAGTTCTCGTTTACTTTTTACCCCAAATTTCAACAGTGGAGTTGATGCCACGGCTCATTTGAGATTTCAAGTTGACCAAGGCCATGGTATAGCCAGGACCGCCAGACCACAAGGTTGGGGTGGCACCAGAGCTATTGGTGAAACGATCGTACACAAAGACGGCGGTGATTTGGCGGGTATTGGTTTGGCCCTAAAAAATCAAAATTTTCAATAAAAAAATTATTCGTTAAAAATAAATTACTTTAAAAAAAACTTACACTCTTGGGGAAGGAGACATCAACGGAAATGAAAGAATTGGCAACGGGAGTACGGAAAACATTTTCGTTCAACAACAAAACATCAGTTGTGTTGCGTTTACCCCAGGTGGCGCTCATGGCCAGGGTGGTGGCGAAAAGAGCCACAAATACCAAAGTGAACTTAAGGAATGCCATTTTTACTCTGCGCGTTGCTGGAAAGAACTTGACTGCTATGGTTCTCCAGCAAAGGCTATTTATATGAAAATATTTTTAGCGGTTCTTTTTCTATTATCATTTGCAATAAATATGAATATTGGCAATAGATAAATTGTCAATTTGCTTATCATTTATTCATTTATTATTATTTTTTTTTTTTTTTTGCTGCAAAATTAGATTACCATAAATCGGCATATGCCAAATAATTATTGATATGGCTTATCTTCTATTGCTCATGTTGAAATATTGTTGGTTATTTAATCCACCCAAAACATGTTTGTGCGGAACTTAAAAGAAATTCTCAGAATTGAATACCAATTGAAATAATTTCACAAAAAAAAAAATCAATGTGACATTATCTTTAAGAAAATGTAGACTGTTTGACTCTTGAGATTTTTGGGAAATAGATAGTTTTTATGAGTGGCAAACTTCCCCCATGGCTAGTCATGATTTCAGACACAAAAATCCCCCATATGTTCTATATGATTGGAGTTTATTGGATTATCGATATTCAGATTGATAAGCAGTATTTTCTAGCCAATGAGTCAGTGTTTTACTGGGTGGCCAAACAAAATTTCAAATCAGTCCAGTCAGTGGCTAAGGCATTTTTATGCAGAAAACAACAGTGATCGGCAACGACTGCAAATTATTTTATTGAGTGGTTGAGGACTATTTATAGCCTAAGTCAGATGATTATAGAGGGTATATATCATTTGACACGGCCAAAACGTGCCCCATCAAAATAATGATTTTAGACCATACTTCTCTTTGGTAGAAATCTGTTTCAGGATCCAGTACAAATTTGGTTTGTCGTTCTGTTGATGATTATATTTTTTCTTTAGAAAAAATTTTTTCCTTAAAAATGGTTAGGACTATTTATACCCTCAGCCATATGGCTAGAGAGGGTATATTTCAAAATGTGCCAAATCCATTTCACGACATTTGGTGTCGATCTAGTGATGTCCGTCCGTCTGTTTGGCTGGATGGTGCGCACGATAACTCACGAAGGGACTATCCGCTTTCATTAAAACTTGGTACATTGTAATATTATTGTCAAAATTGGATTGAGTTCGGAGATGGGTGATGGACCTTCTGGTACCTCCCCAGAAAATGTTAACATTTTCAAAGAAAGTAATTTAATGCACAGAAAGGGAAAGGATAATCCGATTTTGCTTCAACTTTGCAAATCCTAATATTTCTATCAGCGCTACTTGAGGTGTGCCGAAATAGGCAATATCGGTCGACTCCATCCAGGACCTCCCTAAATGGTCAACATTTTGAATATCCACGAAGCTCATAAAACGCGAAATTATCATTAGATTCCATTCGGACTTAACATTTCCATCAAGACAATATCTGTTAAAAAAATGGTGGAGGTCGGACCATTCCTTCTGCTACCTCCCCCACAAAGTTTTGAATAACAAAAACGATCATAAAACCCGAAATAAGCATCCGTTTCTTTTTATATTTCACAAATCCCATGATTTGTAACTACTTCTGGTTCCTCCCCCACAAAGGATCAACATTTTGAATATCCATTAAGTTCATTAAAGGCGAAATAACAATCCTATTCCATTTAAATTTGGCAAATCTCAATATTTTCATCAATACAAAATCTTTTATAAAGATGGTAGAAATCGGACCATTCCTTCTGGTACTTCCCCCGCATAGGAAGTAGTTTTTATGAGTGGCAAACTTCCCCCATGGCTAGTCATGATTTCAGACACAAAAATCCCCCATATGTTCTATATGATTGGAGTTTATTGGATTATCGATATTCAGATTGATAAGCAGTATTTTCTAGCCAATGAGTCAGTGTTTTACTGGGTGGCCAAACAAAATTTCAAATCAGTCCAGTCAGTGGCTAAGGCATTTTTATGCAGAAAACAACAGTGATCGGCAACGACTGCAAATTATTTTATTGAGTGGTTGAGGACTATTTATAGCCTAAGTCAGATGATTATAGAGGGTATATATCATTTGACACGGCCAAAACGTGCCCCATCAAAATAATGATTTTAGACCATACTTCTCTTTGGTAGAAATCTGTTTCAGGATCCAGTACAAATTTGGTTTGTCGTTCTGTTGATGATTATATTTTTTCTTTAGAAAAAATTTTTTCCTTAAAAATGGTTAGGACTATTTATACCCTCAGCCATATGGCTAGAGAGGGTATATTTCAAAATGTGCCAAATCCATTTCACGACATTTGGTGTCGATCTAGTGATGTCCGTCCGTCTGTTTGGCTGGATGGTGCGCACGATAACTCACGAAGGGACTATCCGCTTTCATTAAAACTTGGTACATTGTAATATTATTGTCAAAATTGGATTGAGTTCGGAGATGGGTGATGGACCTTCTGGTACCTCCCCAGAAAATGTTAACATTTTCAAAGAAAGTAATTTAATGCACAGAAAGGGAAAGGATAATCCGATTTTGCTTCAACTTTGCAAATCCTAATATTTCTATCAGCGCTACTTGAGGTGTGCCGAAATAGGCAATATCGGTCGACTCCATCCAGGACCTCCCTAAATGGTCAACATTTTGAATATCCACGAAGCTCATAAAACGCGAAATTATCATTAGATTCCATTCGGACTTAACATTTCCATCAAGACAATATCTGTTAAAAAAATGGTGGAGGTCGGACCATTCCTTCTGCTACCTCCCCCACAAAGTTTTGAATAACAAAAACGATCATAAAACCCGAAATAAGCATCCGTTTCTTTTTATATTTCACAAATCCCATGATTTGTAACTACTTCTGGTTCCTCCCCCACAAAGGATCAACATTTTGAATATCCATTAAGTTCATTAAAGGCGAAATAACAATCCTATTCCATTTAAATTTGGCAAATCTCAATATTTTCATCAATACAAAATCTTTTATAAAGATGGTAGAAATCGGACCATTCCTTCTGGTACTTCCCCCGCATAGGGTTCAAGATTTTGAAAAACAAAACGCTCAAACAAAGTGAAATAAGCATCCAACTCGCTTCAAATTTCACACATTCGAACATTTTTGCTAAAACAGGATCTGTTGAGAAGATTATATATATCCGCAGGACTTTTGGTATTGAAAATGGGCCATGTAGGTCTACATTTTGGTATAGCCCCCACATAATGGTACCTCCTTGTTTTTGGTATTTTGGTGATTTAAGCGACATTATTCACCGGAATTCTTTCAAATTTGGTATTTGAAGTTCGCAATGGGTACTACAGCCTAAGACAGAAAATTGTCTATGCCAGTCCTCGTCTTCGTATAGCCCCCATAAAACGGTACCTCCCGATATTCGGTATTTTGTTGATTTTAGCGAATCTATTCGCCGGAATTGTTTCAAATGCAATATATGAAGTTCATAACGGATACTACAGCCTATGACAAAAAATTGTCTGTGCAGGTCCACGCCTCCGTATAGCCCCCCATATAACGTGACCTCCCGATATTCGGTATTTTGATGATTTTACCTACATTATTCACTGATTTTTTCGCATTTGAATATTGTAATGGTTTATGACAAAACTTGCCTATGCAGGTCCACGTCGTCGAATGGACCCTAATATATTGGATACTTTCGGTATTTTTAAGATTTTAACATAATTTTTAATGGATTTTATTTATTTTTTTATTTTTATTTATTTATTTATTTATTTATTTTTTTTTTTTTTGAAAATTGCCAAAATCCTTCCAAATGGTGGAAGGTATTCAAAGATCCGCCCGGCCGAAATACCTGCTTTTGTACTTGTTTCGTTAGAAAAAGTCGTAATGTGCTGAACGATTTTTTCTCTTAATAATGTTGAGGACTATTTTATTCTTATTTTTTTTTTGTCGAAAAGAATGCTGAGGGGTTTTTTTAATACTATTTTGGATTACAAAATCGAGTAGGATTTTTCCCCATTCCATCGAACAAACTACTGTGGAAAATTTGTATTCCATCGAAAAAATGCAGAGTACAATTTTATTCTTTAGTAACAATTCTGTTTTGAATAGTCTTCTATAACATATGTTCACGTTTTGAAATATATCGCAATATACCTGCACGAATTTCCGGCATGTTTATTATGATTTGTATCACACTTTTTACCGGAATAGTTCCCATTGGGTATTTTGAGTATTCATGTCTTCGTATAAACCCATGGAGTTATTCGCCTTGTTCTTGGATTTATATATTTATAAAATTATTATTATTATTTGTATTTGTTTTCTAATTTCAAAAGTCTATTTACAAATTATTTTATTATTTATTCTAAACATATCTATGTTTGTAGTGGCGTGTGTTCGTGTCGAAGTTTATCTTCCGTAAATTTCAACGGTTGAGTTGATGCCTCGCGATACTTGACTCTTCAAATTAACGGTGGCATATGTTAGATTGGGACCACCCGACCATAGACTGGGGAAAGCACCGGACGAATTTGTAAAGCGGTCATATACAAAAATGGCAGTTATAACTCTTTTGTTGACTTGGCCCTAAAAGAAACAGGGGGCAAAAAGAAATAAAGAGTATTATTATTTAAAATTTTAAATAAAAACATGATGGCAATTTCCAGAACTTGCCAGGTTCTATTAGTTTTGCAATTTTATTTTCGATATCATAGAGGAAAGTCAGTTGTCGTAGTAAACATTTCTACATTCTGGAACAGAGCATTTATAAAATGAATTTTGAAATCTTAATGGGGCGATCCCAAATCAAATTTTGGAATATTGCTAATAAAAAGTGCAACTCGAAAACGTTGGAATATCGTAGAAGAATTATCGGTAATATGAGCTAAAACATTGAAAACTCTCACAAGGAGGCACAATTACATCTTTGCAATATTTAAAACATATTTCTGTGTAAATCAAATTCTTATTCGTTATCAATTTCCACCTGTTAAAGTTTTCAGTTTGCCAACATAATTCCAGATCTCTTTCTCATCATTCCAATTTTTATTTATTTATTACTTTTCACCCATATCTTACCGATTTTGGAAATTGTACATTAACACTCCAATAGTTGTTCTTTAATGGTGTTCGCACAACATTTTCACGCAACAGCAAATAATCGGTCGAGTTGCGTCGGCCCCAAGCAGCACTGCTGGCCCAAGCGATTGTTGCCAATGAAGCAATTAAACACAAACTTGTTAGAAATTTCATGATTTCCTTTAGCAGATCCTTCTTAACTTATTTCCTTTTGTTCTTTCGTTTATAAGCCAAACACGTTTCGTTGTCGTCGTCGTCGACGTCTTTCGATAGAGAAAGTTTGTCAGCAACTGTGGTGTGGGAATTGGTATTTTATTCGATTATATACAGTAGTGGCACGGGTGGTTATCGGTTTTGTTTGATTACTTACATAGAGGTGCTTACAACAAACACACGTACAAAAAGAAAAAAAAAGAGAATTGTAGATCTTGAACACAATCTTAATTAAATTGTTATTATTATCTATGGAATTACTTTTTGTATTTTGTGTTATTTTGCTGTTTTCAAGGAATGATAATAGGTTGGTTCACTTAGAAGAAAGTTAAAACAACTAATAAAGAACTATAAATTAATAAAAAATATATCAATAATATTATTTTTATTTATTTATTTATTATTTTTTTTTTTTTGGTAAAAATACATTTTTATTTTTATAATTTTAATAAATGACATGAATTTTGGTTGATCAGAAAAAATTAAGTCTAGAAGCAAGTACATTACATTTGGTGAAAATCGGTTTAGATATAGCTAAAACTCCTATATACAGGGTTATATGAAATAACTGAAACCAACTTCAGACTGCTGTCATTTCTAAGCCTATCGACCGAAAGCTGTTAAAATTATTTCAGTGACAGCTTGTTTACTAGCGTATAAAAGCATTTTGGTGAGAATTTTTCAGAAAAAAGTTATTAGTGACGGAATTCAAGCGTGATAGCGTGATTTCTTTATATTTGGCTGGAAAACAAGAAGTTAGATCGTTAGAGCACTCCAGCATTTAAATGTGAACAAATCTTTTGTGTCTCGTACCATCGCTCATTACCGTGATACTGGTAGCGTAGTCCGACGTCAGGGAAGTGGACGGAAGAAAACAGCAACATCAGAAGAAATGGTTCGAAAAGTAAAGAAGCGACTTGATCGAAACCCGCGTCGCATAGGTCGAAAAATGGCTCGTGAGTTGAATATTGAAAGCCATTGAAATTCCAAAAAGTGCAAGAACTTACACCGCAACAGAAGGGCTAAAGAGTTGCTTCGCTTGGCCTAAAGTGGTGAACTGTCGAATTTGGTTTTCTCCGATGAGAAAACAAAACAAAAAATCGTGCTAACTTGCCAAAGAGGTCAGCTGAAGATGTGCACCTTCGGTTGGCCACCCGAACTCAAGCGGAGGCCATGGTGATGGTGCGGGCCGCCATAATAGCCGATGGTCGCTCTCCGCTCGTATTAATCGACCGTGGCATCAGAATAAATGCCGAATATTATCGCGAAAATATTCTTAAGGGTGTATTAAAGCCTTGGGCATGCAAAAATTTTGGCCGCAGACCTTGGACATTTCAACAGGAATGCTCTCAGCACGCGCCACCCAATAATGGTTACAAAATTAGGTTCATCGCTTCATTCCCAGCGCACAATGGCTACCAACATCTCCGGAGGCCAATCCGTTGGACTATTGTGTCTGGAGTATTTTGGAAAGCAAGGTTGGCACTAAAAAATACCAAAGTGTCGATCACGTCAAGCAAGCGCTTCCCCGGGAATGGGTCAAAATACCGCAGAGCAAACTTCGGGCAGCGTGTGATGGTTTCATTGGCCATCTGTAGTGAAATTCTCTTATTCATTTACCGACAAAAATCGGTAACTTTGAAGCCCAAAATTATTATATAAAAAATAAGTTAAAATTGACAACATTGGTATTTATCGGTAGGTCATATCGACTTCTTTTATTTCGTCGCTAATTTACCGACAAATTTCGTATATTACCGAAATTATAAGCATTTTAATTTTACCGACTTTTGTCGGTAAATCAGAAAATGAATTAGAGAATTCCACTACTGAAGGCCATAATTCGTGCAAAAGTTGACCAATTCGAACAAATCTAAACCTGTTCTAAAATTTGATGATATTTCCGAAATTTTTTGCTTTCATTTAATAAAATGTAAAAATATATATAAAAGTTATGGCATTTGACTTTGTTTCAGTTTTTTCATCTCTCCCTGTATCTTTATCTGATATATGGATTTTTCTGCACCAAATGTTTAATATCAGCCCAAATAGACTGAATATAGGTACTTCCGACTGAATTCAGCCCAGAAACAAATACTTACTTGAAAATCGGTTCAGATGTAGCTATTGTTCTCATGTATATTTTTCACCCGATTTGGGGTTTTAAATCCCTCACATCCGTAATATTCTCCACACAACAATGACATTTGATGCCGGGCATCAGATACCGCTCGAAAATACATCTGCCTAATTTTATAGAGATCGGTTCAGGTTTTTATATAGCTTCGATATTTACCTGCATCCGGGTTTACGGTTATTGTCCACCACATATGTAATATCAAACCGAATTAGAGAGATTTTTTCATATTCAACCGAGTTTCTCTATTTGATGAAACTCGGTCCGGCATATCTTTTGCTCCAATAAATATTTTCGAATATAATTCTTATCGAAGTCATATTATGCACTATACAGCTCTGCAAATTTGTTGAAAATCGATTCAGAGTTGGATTTAATTCCCAAATTGGGACTACTCTAATGCCATTATATGCATTCAAATAAGGGTCATAGTGGGTATGATCTACTTCACATAAATTCCCATTATAAACTTTTTTTGTTACGGGAGCTTGACATAGTGTGTACGGTACCCCGCACGACATTTGACCTATCCTTACTGGTTTTATTACTTGTCCATGCTTTTAGGAAGCACCCTTCTCAAAACCTCGGTTGGAAATCTTCGACCATATATAACCATTACTTCTTGCGTTTTCATTTTATAGATAACTCCTTTCTCATTGGGAACCCACCTATTACCGCTATTGTTATATATATTTTCTGGTGACAATATTTTAATAAGTGTCACAAACAATTGTTGATATTAATATTTGTTTAATGAGAGATAACGCCTTCCCAACCAACTGTTATTTACAAACACAAAACATATTATCCGCCCGAAGTATCTACATATGACTGCCGCTAGACGGCCAAGTGTGAAAATTATAACGTCATATGTTTTTAATTGCATAAGATTTTCCCTAGAATTTCACAAAATATTGACAATTTAAGAATTGAATCACTTTCGATAGCCACAAGTTTTTTTAGTTATTTATTTTATGATAAGAGTTAAATAAATGTAAATAGTTTTGAACAAATCATAGGGGATTTTAAATAACAATATACAGAAAAATTTGGTTTGAAATTTCTAGGAATTAAGTCATTGAGTTATTACTAATTTAATAATAAAGTTATTGAGTTGATATCTTTGAATCTCAATCGACAGATTTCTGATGTTAAAAATTGTTCTGGAGACAAATTTTACATTATCAAAAAAAAAAAAAAAAAAAAAAAAAATTGGCGAAATATTTAAAATTTAAAAAAACTTATTCTGGTAACAAATTTTAAATTTTTAAGTTGCCGAAAATGTATATTTCGGGCATCATTTACTGATTCACTCTTTGTATTACATTAAGAAATACAATTAATGCTGCATACTTTTAGGCTGTTATCATAAATAATGCTCTAAATAGCTGTGTTCCCGCATCAATTTTATATTTGGAATTCAATTTTAAATGATAAAAAAAAAAAAAATAAAACTGAAATGTCGGATTGACGAGAAACATTTTCTATATATTCCAATTTGTTGCGGCCCACACCATCACCATGGCCGACGTTTGAGTTCTGGTGGCCAACCGAAGGTGCACATTTTCAGATGACCTCTTTGGCAAGTAAACACGATCATTTTGTTTGTTTATAAACTGCTTGACAACGATTGTTTTCTCATCGGAGAAAACCAAATTCGGCAGTTCACCACTTTCGGCCAAGCAAAGCAATACTTAGCTCTTTTGAGACTATTTTCTTACTGTTGAGATGTAACTTTTTGGAATTTTAACGACTCATTTTTCAATATTTTCCGAATGGAATATTGTGATATGTTCAGCTCACAAGCCATTTTTCGGTCACTGCGACGCGGGTTTCGATCAAGTCGCTTCTTTACTTTTCGAACCATTTCTGCTGATGTTGCTGTTATTTTATCGTCCCATTCATTGACGTCGGGCTATGCTACCAGTAGCACGGTAACGAGCGATGGTACAAGACACAAAAGATTTATTCACATTTAAATGCTGGTGTGCTCTAACGACAGCCAATTTTGGTTTTCCAGAAAATCACACTATCACGCTTAAATTCAATCACGAATAACTGTTTTTCTAGAAAGTTCTGAACAAAATGCTTTTGTACGCTTGTAAACAATATTATGAGCTGTCACTGGAATAATTTTAACAGCTGTCGGAGTGTGCCTTAGAAATGACAGCAGTGCCTTAGAAATGACAGCAGTGTGATATTTTTCATCTTACCCTGTATATGACACTTTGTAGGGGAGGTACTAGAAGCAATGGGGGATAGTGTCCACTAGTGTAGTAGTAGTGGCATTAACTGAGAATTTCCACTTGGATAATGTTTTATAATGGACCGATATTGTCCATCTCTGAACTCGACCTCTCTTTGATAATTATATGGCGATGTTCTGATTTCTGAAACGGATTTGGTCTAAGACCGTTATCTCCATGAGACACGATTTTAACAGCATCATGTGCTATGGTCTCTCTAGCCATATGGCAGCGGGTATTAATATAATGTGCCGACTACAAGCTCAGCTCCTCCTTTAATCGATCTCTGCACAATGAACTCAATTCACCCTTTTATCCAGGCGATGATAATTCAAGTAATTTAATATCAACACCTGATAAATATTCTAGGTAAATATTAAAGCTTTGGCAACCTAATATTGGATTTATTCCATTTTAAATATTTCATGGATTTCTTTTTTAATTTTCTAATAATACACCATTTAAATCGTTTATTTATGACAACAAAAATTAATTTTTTAATTGTACCATTGATTATTAATTTTTTTGACATAAATTGCTTCGGTAATTATTTTCCAAAAATCCTGATGGTGCCATTGAAACCTTTGCCATAATAACCCCGCAATTCAATGGTGGCAAAAGCTCGGCCTGGTCCACCGCTCTTTAGGATTGGCACAAAACCGGTTTGATTTTTGAAATTATCCACAATATATATTTCGGATATGAGAGCGCTATTTGAATTGCCCTATATTGAACAAAAAAAAATATAATAAAAGGAATTATTTTATTACAATTTCTGGAAAAATGAGACATACCCTGGTGGGAAAACGTATTCCCCGTATTTGACCGGTGCCGGGTCTTGGAAGCGTGACAAATATTTGATTATACAAAAGTCGATCACCTCGTAGACGTTTACCCCAAGTTTGTGTATGACTTACGGCCAATGTGACACAGGCCACTAGCACAACAACAGCACACAGAATAACTTTCATTTTTTATTGAAGAACTGATCGCGATGTGCCTGTGTCCCGATAAATGTTGCAATGCATAATGAAAATGGCTGGAAGGCCAATTTATACAAATAAACCGGTAGGTTTTTCCATATATTTGCAACAATAATAATAATAATACCACATTCGACCGCATACATATTTAGAAGGATCATAAATTGTATTTAACCAAGAGCTTTTTTTTTCAAAACCGTCATAATTATATATCACTGTTTTATTAAAAAAAAATATGAATAATATTCAATTGTTTTATAATCAAACCACAAAACCTTCTTTTAAATAAGATGCAATCAAAGCGTTATAAAAAGTAGTGGAACAATTATTTAGTTATTAGTTAAAAAGAACTACTGCTGGAGAGAGTAGTTCGAGTTATCCTTAAAAAATAATAAATAAATACGTTTTTTGAAAAAAAAAAAAAAAAAACATGTTGTCGGGCTTGCAAGTGATTTTAATGTGTGGCTTAGTTGCCACGGTGCTTGGCAATTCTTTGTCAAGCGACAGCATGTGGGGCAACCGTGAACCGGGTGATAAAATGGTTTTCGATCGTAATGTTACATTGCCAAAGAAAATTGCCCGCTACCAGGATGTAAAACTCAATTATGATGTAAGGACTACTGCTAAATGGATGATGCACCCAAATTAAAAAAAGAAAATATTTCCCATCGTGGTTTTCAAAAAATTCAAAATATAATCGTTATTTCTTTCCAGCCCTGGTTTATTAAGCCCACCATCACAGCAATTGTTTTAAAGAATTTCAAACCCAAGGAACAGCCTATCGTGCAAATTGTCAAAGGTGGCGTTGGCCAAAAATCAGCCGAAATACATTTGAGTACTCAACGATCGGAAGGCATGCGTGTACGTCTGATGATATTTGGCAAGAAAACTGAGTGAAATGTGGCGAACATGATTTTTTAATAAATTATCCAATATTCTACAAATATTTATTTGTTCGTCAACAAACCATATTCAAAGAATGAAGTGAAAAATAATATAAAAATTATTAAAAAAATAGTAGATTTTTTGTCATTACCGGTTTCGCAACTATTGACGGGATGCAATAGATAATAAAGTAAACCAAAATTTGACCAGCAATTTATTCAACATATTGGAAGATGAGGGCGTGGAATTGTAACGGCTATTTATACCCACAGCCATATAGCTACATAGCAGCTTAATAGCCTAAGTTTCTTTAATCGAAATCCTTTTCACACTCGCAGCTGGTATCCGATTTCTTCCAACCGAGTACGGAGATGGGTAATATCAATCCATTTCTTCTCGAACCTCCTCCAGAAAAGTTCAACATTTTTAAGGAAAATAAAGATAAAGAAAGCAGTCTCCAAATTTTAATCAAACTTTGGAAATTGTGATATCTATTTAATGTTAGGAATTGTGCGCAAATGGACAATATCGGCCCATAATTTTTAGGACCTGCTCCAAAGAGATTTAGGTCCCTTTAAACTAAATTCGTTTCAGGATGTTTGGTGTGCGTACGAACTTTGGAATATTGTATCCGATTTCCTGCAATCGACTTCGGAGGTGAGCAATATCAGTCCCGCCCTTACAGGGGAAGATAAAAACACTGCAACAAAGTCAAACGCCATAATTTAATTTTTTTTTAAATTTTATTGAATGAAAGCAAAAAATGTCGGAAAAAGCCTCAAATTTTAGAATAAGATTAGATTTGTTCGAATTGATCACCTTTAGTACGAATTAGGGCCTTCAAACGGCCACGCTGCCCAAATTTTACTATGTGGTGTTTTGGCCCATTCCCGACGAAGCGCTTGCTTGAGGTGATCGACACTTTGGTATTTTTTAGTGCCAACTTTGCTTTCCACAATACTCCAGACACAATAGTCCAACAGATTGGTATCCGGAGATTTTGTGCGCTGGAAATGAAGAGAGGAACCTCATTTTGCAACCATTATTGGGTGGCGAGTGCTGAGTGCGCTGGTGCTAAGTCCTTCTGAGATGTCCAAGGACTGCGGCCAAAATGTTTGCGGGCCTAAGGTTTTGATACAGCCTCCAGAATATTTTTTCGGCATTTCTTCTGATGCCATTGTCGATTAATACGAACGGAAAGCGACCATCGGCTGTTATGGCGGCCCACACCATCACCATGGCCGGCGCTTGAGTTCTGGTAGCCAACCGAAGGTGCACATTTTGGCAAGTAAACTCGATCATTTTGTTTGTTTACGAACTGCTGGACAGCGAATGTTTTCTCATCGGAGAAAACCAAATTTGGCAGTTCACTACTTTCGGCCAAGCGAAGCAAAGCAACTCTTTAGCTCTTTTGAATCTATTATCATTCTGTAGCAGTGTAAGTTCTTGCACTTTTTGGAATTTCAATGGCTTTACCCCGAGCTTAATTTTCAACATTTGCCAAATGGAATATTACGATATGTTCAGTTCACGACCCATTTTTCGGCCACTGCGACACGGGTTTCCATCAAGTCTCTTCTTTACCTTTCGAACCATTTCTGCTGATGTTGTTGTTTGCTTCCTTCTACTTCCTTGACGTCGGGCTACGCTACCAGTATCACGGTAACGAGCGATGGTACGAGACACAAAAGATTTATTATCCACAATTGATCGGATCTTGGAAACTTGGGAACTGTTTGATTCTGCAAACTTGGATCACCTAGGAGCATTTTTTGTAAGGCTATGTTTAACCTCATGTCTATATAGGAGAGTCCGCTTCAATGGATGTATTAGATGGAAAAAATTTAACATTGAGATACCTGCCGAAATGTTGGAAAGAGTATGCAAAAACGGAACATAGAGAATGGACCGTTTGAGGCGGAGCCGATGTCGACATTTGGATCGTACTCTCCATTCAAATACAAAATACATGCATTTTTTGTATTTATTTAATAGCTCTTCAAAAATCACCCTTTATTTAAAATACCTTCAAAAGCTTGGTAGAGATAGAAGAACTCGCTCGGATTGAAATTCGCTGGAAATCGAGCGAAAGCACTCTTCGGAGTAAAAAGGAAATAAAACCCGAATATGAAACCCGCCAGGATAACGGCGAACATATTTTGCTCGTTTTAGAGTAGGAGCAAAATTTGTTTGAAAACGAGCAGATTCTACTCTTCTATTCCGAGCTGTTTTTTAGTTCTAAGGCCAGCTCCTCTCTTCTTTTGCGGTCAAAAATAAATTTATATACCCTCCAAATCATTATACTCAATAAGTTCGGCACAAAGGTTTATATTATATGCAGACTGATTTGTAATGAAAATGGGCTATATTGCTCCACCTTTCTATCGGAACCTTCAGATTTTTGGCATTTAGGCCACAATTTCCAACCAAATTAGATGAAATTTAACAGTTAGGGTTCTCGTTAGGTCTGTTCTTTCCCTGCAAAAAATATTCGCAACAGATGCACTAATTGGTATAGCCCCCACAAAACGGTACCTTCCGACTATCCGATTTTTAAGGTTTCGCCCAGAATTTTCAACCAAATTAGATGAAATTTGACAATTGGGTTCTTCGTAGGTCCATTCTTCCCTTGCAACAAATGGTCGATTCTGGTCCACTAATTGGTATAGCCCCCATATTTACGGTACCTCCCGATTTTCGATATTTTACTTCTTTTAATTATAAATATTTTATAATTTGTTATCCATTTTTGTGGACTTCTCGCATAAAAGAAAAGCAGAAGAAGAATAAGGTCTGAATTCGCCTCCTGTGCGACGGACTTGGCCTTAGATTCAACTACATATATGTCACATGAGTAATTATTTTCCAATTTAAAAAAAAAAATTCTGGTTATGCGAATGAGCTCTCTGACTTCGTCTTACTTTAAAGAGATGCACAGATTTTCCCGATGTTTAATATTTTTTGGAATTTTGAAAAGGACAATGTCCCAATTTCAAGGGACTGCGAAAACGTTCGCTATTTTGAGTTTTCGGTCTAACCGAATCGAACAGGGTTCCTAGAAAATTTATCGCCGAAAAAATTTTTCTCGGATTTTTTCGTTTGCATTCATCTTTTTCAGAATTATTATTTCTTTCATTGCGTTTCTTCTGTTTTTAAATAAAAAAATGCCTCGTCGTTATTTCTCAAGCATTTGATGTAAGACAAGCATTTCTAATCGATTTAAATCTCGCTTCACTCATTTCTGTTCTAAAAATAAAATATTTCATCAAAAGTATTTTCCTTTCTACTTCCATGTCCACAGCATAATTTTGAACGCACAATTCATGTTTTCTATTTTTTTTTTAAATAATACAATTTTCAAAATTTCTATTTCATAAAATAATCCGAAATCTGAGCTGACCTTTAGCATCAATTCTTTTCAAATTATCATCTAATGTTTATTTTAAGAATTACGGAATTATGATTTCATACTCGACATAAATATGTTTCAAATAAAAATAAGCTAAGGTAAAAGTCAAGGTACTGCGGAGGGCTGGGAACAGCGCGATAGGACAAAGCGTGTAAAACCAAAATGACGCATCACAATCACCCATTCAGAACGGCATCATTGTAAGTCACAGCGCCGCCAGCAGCAGCACATGTTGGCCCCTATATATGTGGAATATGAAATGTTTGCAACAATGTGAATCTCTGCTCTTTGTGCGTGTGGTTGTGTGTGCGATGTATTTCTGGACATAAGTTCAAAAACATTTTCATGACTTGGTTTCCCATACATATAATTATTATTGTTTTAATATTTTGCTCAAAAAAAAAAAAGAAAAGAAAAAATAATAATAAACCTACAAAATATAACAGAGGCGTATAAATTCGAAAAAAAGAACTGATAAGAAGAACATGACAGCGTAGCCCAGCTCAGAAACAACAAAAGAGAGAACTGGATGGCTGGCTAGCTGGACACAATAATATTGAAACACACACAAGATGCTGGCCGGATTCATGTCATAATCTGAAACCGAATTCTGTCCGAAAGAGAGCCCGCAATTGAACTGACTGTTGTGCATAGAGCCACTCACTATTAAGCTAAACTTCTCAGACAACGGAGAGTTAAAACGGAAATTAAAATTAGTTTTAAAATTTGGGTGCCAGAAAACGGTTTACAAATTGAAAGGAAGAAGAAAAAAAAAAAAACAAGAAACAAATTGAAAGTGATATAACGGATTAAATAAATAGAAATAAAAAAAAAATAAAAATTAAATAACACTAATTAACCGCTTAAACAAATTCAAAATAATTAGAACACAGAAAAATTATTAACTTTAAAAAGAGAGAGAGAGAAAGAGTCACAAAATACATAAATCACAAAGGATTATATCTCGTAAAGGATTAACAAAACAATATAATGCCAAATCTCAAATATATTATCTTCATCGTGCTGGTGTGCCTGTTGGCCACCACATATGCCGTTTCCAGTACCTGGGGCAACATTTCCAATTCCGCCCAACTGTTGCATGCCGAACAAGTATTTCATGCCTCATCACCGGAAAAATATGTGACACATGAAATTAAATATCCCAAAAATGTAAGAATTATTAAATTTTGTTTTTTTTTTGCTATGTTGTCATCATCATGCGTTGAAGAAATGTAGGGAAGACAATTACGGTTTTGATAACAAAAAAAAAAAGAAAAAAGAATAAGAGATATGAAAAGGAATCGAGTTCCTGCCACAGCTTCTCAATGGTATGGCTTTATTAAAATGTGTGCAAAATGTTGATATAGACTTAAATTAATTATTTAAAATTAAGCAAAAAATATGTGGCCCACTCGAGACCGTAAGTCTCGGAAATCAACTTATCTCCCAATTTACACGTAAAAAGTTAGATACTGAAAAGCAATGAAAAAAACGCTTAGTTTCGATGAACTTTCTACATTGCAGACATATGATTTATCGGCTCGACAACTTTGACAGGGAATGTTTTAGACGTCACCCAGGGATTTAAAATTCGATTTTCTTGGCAAAAATTCCCATCTTTGCTATTACCTACTCCTTAATATTGATGGGATTTGTTGGTATACATATTATAGCTAGGGCTGGTCAGAACATTTGACTCCGATAACTGAAGTTAAGACAATAACACTATGCAATCAAAAAAAAAAAAAAGTAAAAAAGTAAGTTCAGCCGGGCCGATCTTTAAATACCCTTTACCATTTGGAACGAATTTGGCAATTTTCACAAAAAAAAAATCCGTTAAAAATTCTGTTAAAATCTAAAAAATACCAAATGTAGCCGTTACATTAGGGTCTGTACGACGACGTGAACCTGCATTTTTAAAACGTCAAAACAAGTGTCTTCCATTTTTTACTCCACTTTTATCAGCTACTTAATTTTTTCCTGTGATTATTTTTATTTTATCCGATGTCATCATTCAAAACGCTGATATACGTATCTTCTATTTTTAGTTCTACTTTCCTATAATTTTTATACCATCCACCATAGTATGGAGCGTATATTAAAATTGTCATTTCGTTTGTAACACCTCGAAATATACATTTAAGATTAAGCTATGTCCTTTCGTTTGTCTGTCTATCCGTCTTTCCGTCTGTAGAAAACACTCTAGCTTCCGAACGAAATGCAGTAGGTTGATAAAATTTTATTCAAATGTATATTATGTCTGCAGGACTTTGGTATTGAAAACGGGCCATGCAGGTCCACGTTTTGGTATAGCCCCCATATAACGGTACCTTCCGATATTAGGAACTTTGTTGCATCTAGCGACATTATTCACCGAAATTGTTTCAAATTTGGTATTTTAATTTCGTAATGAATACTACAGTCTAAGACAATTGTCTGTGCAGGCTTACGTTTTCGTATAGCCTCCATATAACGATACCTCCCCTTATTCGGAAGTTTGATTATTTCACCGGAATTGTTTCAAATTTGGTATTTGAAGTTCGTAATAGGTTCTACAGCCTAAGACTGAAAATTGTCTGTGCAGGTTCTGTTCTTCGTATAGCCCCCATACAGTGGTATCTCCCAACATTCGGTACTTTGGTGATTTTAGCGACATTGTTTAAAATTTGGTATTTGAAGTTCGTAATACTTCAGCCATTGACAGAAAAGTGTCTGTGCAGGTTCACATTTTGGTATATCCCCCATATAATATTACCACCCTATAGTGATGATTTTAGCTTCATTATTTACCGATGTTTTTTTTTCCAAGTTTCGCATTTGAATATTGTAATGGCTTATGACAAAAGTTGCTTATGCAGGTCCACGTCGTCATTTAGACCCTAATATGACGGCTATATTTGGTATTTTTAAGAGTCCTAAAGAATTTTTAACGGATTTTATTTTTTTGAAATTGTTTTATGGAAAGGAGAGGACATATATGGGCCTCTCTCTCTGTCTTAAAGGTTCATATTTACTGAGAAATTCAAATAACGAGTTTCAAATAATTCCATTGGAAAATGTGGCTACAATCATTGAAATACCTTCTTGCATCGGGTGGTATTGCTATATGGGGCTAGCATATAGCTATAATTACGATATGGGGCTGATAATACAAAAGTAAGATAGCTTTATTGTTTTGCTGGGCATTTTTTACCATTATATATTTATTTTTTGACTACTAACTGATTACCTGCCATTAAATTCGGTAGGCTGTTTACCTAATTGAGAAGTAGCGTCTTAGAGACGTAACGTTTCGATTATTGCACTGTGAAAAAATTAAGAAAAAAGGTAGCTAAGCACACGTTGGGCGCCATTTAAAAATACACTTTTAGGAGCAAAAACTATTTAGCAAAAACGTAGGGTAAGTGCGCCTAAGTTCGGCATGTCCCAGTAGTCGGCAGTTTTGAAATTTAAACTTAAATAACTATGAACAGAATAGACCAAGTAATGATATAATTGCAAAAAAAAAAAAAAACGTCAACGCTCTCTTTCTGAAGAAACTACTCAAATAAAAAAATTGTTTTGAGTCGGCAGTTGCTTTTATTTGTGCTTTTTGACCAACTTTTCTAAATTAAGTAGGTTTTTTAAATCGGTGGCATTTTTGAAACAAAATGTTGGCTAAATAAAGAGAAAAGATCAGATAAGAAAGGTACTTTTTTCTTTTTTTATTTAGTCTCATTTTTGTTTTAATTGAAAATCCATACGTTACTGAAGCTAACCATACCTATATTTGGTTTTGAATGATAATTAAATAAAACACTATTTAAAAACGAAATTAATTTCAAATTCTGGATTCAACTGTGAATTAGTAATACAGCATTGTTTTATACTATTTGAAATAAAAAATTATAAAAAATAATTTTTTTACTGAAATACCATATGCCGACTACTGGCAAATAGACATGCCGAGCATTGGAAAATGGTGCCGACTACTGGCAAAAAACTACTATTTTAGTAAAATTGCAAATTTTGCCAACTTAATAAAAACAAATTCAATTTTTTTATTATTTCGAAAGTAAACAAAATTTGGAATATGAGCAACTTTATTTTTCTGTAATTAAAATATTGCACTGAGAATGTTGAAAGATTGAAAAATTGAAAATCCTAAAAGTTCCGACTACTGGTACACTTACCCTACGCCCCACATTTACAGTCCTGTTTCATTGCAAGAAGTAATATCCATGCTAACAACTGCATCTGGCAACACCATTTTTCATTAAAAATTATATCCGACCTTATCGGTTTATGGTATACATGCGGGAGAGTGTGCGCTTATGCTATATTTGAGCGTCAATAAAATTTTGATACTTTGAGTTCGTTTTTTGTTATTATTGTCATTGTTTGTTTGCTTTTTTAATTTTGCTATTTTCTTTTTCATTCCAACACTTCAGTGAAATGTTGGGGAAAGCAATAATCTCGAATTCTGAGTAAACCTTATCGGTAATAATTCGAAATTGTGACCGACGCTGAAACGTTGATATTTTCTTTAACAAAACAACAATAAACAACAAATCTCGAAAACCCCATTGATTGTTGTAGTGTTTTTTAAATATATATTATTTATTTATTTTTTTTATTTTTTACTCAAGGTTGCTTTCTATTTCTTTTACTCATTGTTTTGTTAGATTTGTGGTTTTGTATTTAATTTTTTTTTTTTTGGTTCAGTAAATGGTTTTCCCAGTAGGGTAATATGAAGGAAACTTGGTTTTTCTGAATGAGTTATGTTAGGTGGACAGTTTATTAGACATTTTATCTTAGAGTATGTACCTAAGTCAACATTTGATTTGGTGTGTTCTCGGAGAGCACAGGCATGACTATGTTTTTTATACCCTCCACCATTCTATGGAGGATATATTAACTTTCCGTCATTCCGTTTATAATATTTATAATTGACCCAACAAAGTATATCTATTCTGGATCAGCGTAAAATTCTTAGACGATATAGCGATGTCCGTCTGTCTGTCGATCTGTCTGTTGTAATCACGCCACCCTTCGAACGAATTGAGAAGAAGGCTAAAATTTTGCATACATGCATAGCATAGCAGATTAAGTTCATAAATATGCCATGTCGGTACACGTTTTCGTATAGCCCGCATATAACGGTATCTCTCGATATTTGGTATTTTGATGATTTTAGCGACATTATTCACCAGCATTGTTTCAAATTTGGTATTTGAAGTTCCAAATGGATGCTACAGAATAAGACAGAAAATTGTTTGTTCTGTTCGACGTCTTCGTATAGCCCCCATATAAAGGTACCTCTCAATATTCGGTATTTTGATTATTTTAGTGTCATTATTTGCCGGAGTAGTTTCAAACTACGTATTTAGACTTCGTAATGGGAACTACAGTCTGTGACAGAAAATTACCTATGCAGGTCCAGAACATCGTATAGGCCCATATATCAGTACCTCGCTATATTCGATACTTTGATTATTTTAGCGACATTATTCACCGGAATTGTTTCATATTTGGCATATGAGGTTCGTAATGGGTACTAGAGCCTATGGCAGAAAATTGTTGGTGTAGGTGCACGTCTCCAACCCCATATAACGGTACAACGCGATATTCGGTACTTTTATGATTTATTTATTTATTTACCGAAATTGTTTCAAATTTGGCATATAGAGTTCGTAATGGGTACTACAGCCTATGACAGAAAATTGTTGGTGCAGGTCCACGTCTTCGTATAGCCCTAGCCATATAACGGTACCCTGTGATATTCGGTACTTTTATGATTTTAGCGGCATTATTCACCGGAATTGTTTCAAATGTTGTGTTTGAAGTTCGTAACGATAAATCTCGAAGGAAGTATCCGATTTGGTCCAAATTGGGTACATCGTAATATTTTTGTCAAACTTAGATCGAGTTCGGAGATGGGCAATATCGGTCTACTCCTACCTCCCCCACAAAAGGTCGAAATTTTAAAAAAATATAGTTTTTGCACAGAAAGAAAGGATAATCCGAATTTACTCCAACTTTGCAAATCCTAATATTTGCGTTAGTGCTAGGTCAGGTGTGAAAATGGAAAATATCGGTCCACTCCATCAAGTACCTCCCCCACAAATGGTCAAAATTTTGCATAATTACAACTCTCATAAAATGTGATGTAAAAGTCCGATTGTCTTTAAATTTCACACATCCTAATATTTGTATTAACCCAAGGTCTGGTGTGAAGAGGGAATACATCGGTCCACTCCTTCTGGTACCTCCCCCACAAAATATTGAAATGTTGAGTACCCATGAAGCTCATAAAACGCCAAATTAACATCCGATTCCATTTAGACTTGGCACATCTGTCGCAATATTTATATCATATTTTAGGGTCCAATAGGAAATGGGCAATATTGGCCCATTCCTTCGGGACCTGCTCCATAGAGGGTCAAACGTTTGAATAATCTTAACACTAGTCAAAATATATTTAAATAATCGAACATAGGCCGAGGGTATATATCTGGCGGCAATACCGACTGATATTTTTTTATCTTATTTTTATTTAAGTTTCTCATTTGTAATGGCTTGTGACAAAAGTTGCCTATGCAGGCCCACGTCGTTTTATAGACCCTAATATAACGGCTACATTCGTTATTTTTAAAATTTTAATAGAATTTTTAACGGAGTTTATTTGTTTGAAAATTGCCAAAATCGTACAAAATGGTTGAGGCTATTCAAAGATCGGCCCGGCCGAACTTACTGCATTTTTACTTGTTATATTATAAATAGTGTTTTAATATATAACATCTTCGTATTACCCTCTCATCTCGGATATATTCCCAGTTCTATAAAATAAATATTTCGAAAATCATGATCATTTACTTCCACTTTTTCATCAGTATCGCCATAGGATTCTACAGATTTAACCTTAAAAATCTCTTTACGTACCTTAATCATAATGGCTTACCAAAGACATACACACGCACACAGAATTTTGCATATATATCTAAGTGGCAGTATTTTTGTGTGCAAAATTACCGGAAATGTTAAAGATGTGTTTTTCGCCAAACGTTTCTTTTTTTAATGAAAATATAAAAAAGAAATGAAATATACGCCATCTCTACTATTTTACGATAATGTTTGTATACATGTTGTTATATTCACACAGACATATGTATAATATACTGTTCGTAATTGATAAGAGTTTGTTCCTTTGAGCTTGGATGGATGGAAGTAATTGCGGCGGGCACATGCGACATGTCGTCTTGTGTTAGACTATTTTTTTTTTTGCATAATGACATGTTGAATGAAATTGAAATGAAATTTAATTTGCAAAAAAAAAAAAAAAACTATTTTATAGTTTTACTATCTATACAGTGGATCATGGCTATTTGGCATTTTGAAAGTTATTTTGATATTTTGAAATCGTAAAAGAAATTCTCTTCAAAAATCAAAATAAATGGGGGGATTTTCATTGCTAGAACGCAATAACCCTATTTTTTGGTTTTCTATAATGACGTCCTACTGTATTTTCGTTTCAGCAATTTCTGTATTGCGAAAAATGTTTAATTTATGCGCAAATTATTAATATGCGACCTTCAGATTTTATGTTGTATTTTATTCAACTTGCAAAAAAAAAAATAGTGTGACAAAATATATTTTGTATTTCCCCTCAAACCTTGACTTATTTCAAATATGTCTTTAGCAATACACAATTACGCATAAAATATAAATTCCTCCCTCGAATAAAGTCCAAAAAATATATAGTGTCGAAAAAATTCAAAGGTTCCAAGGAATCTAAATCCGGAAATTAAAAAAAAAAAACAATTTAAAAAGCTGTAATTTCGGCCGAGCCGAACTTTGTATACCCTCCACCACTTGGTACAAATTTAAGAATTTTTAAGAAAATAAAATCCGTTAAAAATTCTGTTAAAATCTTAAAAATACCAAATGTTGCTGTATATTAGGGTCTATACGACGACGTGGACCTGCATATGCACACACACGCTTCTGTCACACGCTATTACAATATTCTGCAGCTAAAATCATCAAAATACCTTATATAGGAAGGTACCATGTGGGTTATAAAACATGGACCTGCACAGACAATTTCTGTCATAGGCTGTAGTATCCATTACAAACTTTAAATACAAAATTTGAAATAATTCCGGTAAATAATGTCGCTAAAATCATCAAAATAACGAATATCGGGGGTACCGTTATATGGGGGCTATACGAAGACGTGGACCTACATGGCTCATTTTCAATACCAAAAGTCCTGCAGTCATAATACACATTTGAGTAAAATTTTATTAACCTACTTCATTTAGTTCGGAGGCTAGAGTGATTTCCACAGACGGACAGACGGACAGACGGACGGACATTGATAAATCGACATAGAATTTTATGCTGATCAAGAATATTTATATTCATTGTGGGGTCTAAAATGTATATTTCGAGGTGTTACAAACGGAATAACAAACTTAATATACCCTACATATTATGGTGGAGGATATGAAAAAAACATTAGATAAGTGGGGAACTTGACCCCCTCTATTTAGGTTACTTTGCGTTGCAATCTTTCAAAACACCGATACACGAATCTTCTATCTATATACCCTCCACATGTATAGTATGAAGTGTATATTAGGTTTGGCATTCCGTTTGTAACCCATCGAAATAATAATTTTAGACCCTACAAAGTACACATATCCTTTAATTCTAAGATTTAGCCCTTTAGAATCGAAGCGAATTGAAATAGGAAGGTAAACTTTTGCACAGATCAACCTTTGGCCTGCAGGCAAGTTAAGTTCGAAGATGGGCCATATCGGTACCAAACAGTACCTTCCGATAATCGGTAATTTGGTGATTGAAGCCCAATTTTTAAATGAATTTTTTTTTTTAATTCTTTAAATAAAATTAATTTCGGGTACTTTACTCCCTGAAAGAGAATGATCCATATACAGGGTGAGATAAAAAAAATCCAATAAAGTCAAACGCCATAGTTTTTAAATTTTTTTTAATGTTATTGAATGAAAGCAAAAATGTCGGAAATAGCATCAAATTATAGAATAAGTTTATATTTGTTCTAATTGCTCACCTTTGGCACGAATTATGGCCTTCAAACGGCCAATGAAACCGTCACACGTTTGCGTGCCCAAGGCTTTAATACATCTTCCAGAATTATTGTCGATATTTTCAGCTCACGAGCCTATTTTTAGAATAGAAGAATATATCAAATTCTTGTCATTTATAAAAACTCTAAAAATTAAAATAAAAAACAAAAAATAGCTAACATTTTGTAACTATCTTTTCAACACATTTTTAATAAAAACTTACATTAATTGTTACCCTTCCCTTAGAGCTACTTGTTATTGTAGCAAAAAAAAAAAAACTAATATTTTTAATTTAAAATTATATTAAAAAAAAATATTTCCATAGCTTTCCATAAAATGGAAAATTTTCCAAATATTTGTAAAAATATCGATTTTTAATCAAAATAGTTGAAATTTCTTCAATGCATGATGATGGTGGCACCAATCAACGGATATTTTTATTTATTAAAATAATCTCTATATAATTTTCTCCCCACACAAGGGCATTGGCAATGGCCGCATTATAACCGGCATTCGAGCATTTGATCAGGTTACCAATGGCACTGGAGGTCATGCCACAATTTATTCCGGAGGTCCTGGTTTTAATTTTGTCAACATTAAATTGCAATCACAATACAATTATGGTATAGTATTTCGTGTAGAAATCTATGGCAAATAATACACATGTATTGAACTGTATCTATGTACTCAATAAATTTTATTTATAAATTAAATTTAAAAACATAAACAGCATACAAAAACTACAATAATAATTGCCATGTACTGCTACTTTTACTACTACTACTACTGTTACCGCTACTTTTAATTGACTCATTCTAACACAAACACACACATAAATAAAAACAACAAAACATAAAGTTGTACAAAAAGCCCAAAAAAGCATAACAACAACAACAAATATTTGTATAATAAAATTTTGAAACAACAAAAAAATGATCTAAACATTGGTTTTATTTCGCTTTAAATGGATAATTATTATTGCATGAATGTATTTAAATAAATACCCACGTTATATACTTTTCTGTATTGAATATCAGTTATTGAGAAAAAAAAAATTGGAAAATGTTTTGGGGGAAGGGGGGGTGGTAATAAAACATTTCTTGTCGGGGTAATATAATAATTAATCAGTTAATTATTATTATTATTATTCGTGCTGATATGAAATATGTTTTAGAATAATGAATAATGTAAATGGTAATTTAGCAAAAAAATATTCAAGCATACTTTTAGGAGAAATTTAATATCCTTATTATTAAATTAAATCGCGGTTGAGAAATTGCTTCCCCATACCTCTTTTAAGAAAATTATGGCCACCATAACAATAGCTTGGATAAGTCTAACCTCTCCACCATTGGAAAACTGTTCCAGGAAATTTTAAATTAAATTACTTGTGAAAAGGCATTTTATTCTTCTTGATATTCCAGGAATATAAATTCAATGGCTATTATGATATTTATTTGATTATGATATTTATTTTCTAATATACCCTATAACTAATAAAAAATCTTATTTCCATGTAATTGGCAATAATTTCTAGAAATTTCAAATAATTATTTCTAAAGCGAGCACTCTGCCATAACCGTTTACTGATAAAAATTAAAAGAATCATTCGTCGCAATGACTCATCACTGAGAGACAAAATTAATACAACACCCATTCAACAAAATTATACAAGCTATGTAAACAAAAGTAAAATACGTACTTCACGGTGATTACAATGGAAATAATCAGATTGTTCTATTCTTATCAAAGAAATAAATTCATGTTGAAAGGGGTATTTACCTGATTCCACGAAACCACCCCATGAAATGGAATAAAAACAGATTTCAGTAATAACAATAATTAATTGTTCTTTTTTATAAAAAAGAAGAAATCATTTTATCTTTTGGCTTCTGGCTGTAGTCAGGAAATTTAAAGCCTTAGACATTATCTCTTTTGATATTTGAAAGCAATGCAGGTGAAGTGCATTGAATTTTAACGGATTATAGCAGAAATTCATTTTTGAAGAAGATATTTCTTAAAGAAAAAATTAAAAAACAAAATAAATAAAAACAGTAAACTCGACGAAATATCTCGGAGAATCATTGCGCATTTTGTTGGAGTTGAATTGCTAATTTCCATTTACGATCCTACCCTAAGTCTGATGTAAATGTTTTTATATATTTTAAGTTTGGACTAGATCGCTAGATCGACTCCATATGTCCTAAAATGGGCTGAAGGTATAAAAACACAGGTTCAAATGCTCGTTTGAATTCGAGTAGAGTGTTAAACTCGCTCCAGTTCGTGAAGATGGAGTACTCCTAGGCGTAGAATTCAAAAAAATCGACTGTACTCTATTTTAATGCCACTCGACTAAGTGCACATATGTTTTGTTCTTTTCGAGTAAGAGTAGAATTCACTCGAAAAAAGATTCTACTCTTTACGAGTTCTCTTTTAGGATTTTACATACCGTTTTGTATTTGGAAAGAAAAACAACTACATTGAAATGCATTGTTCCCAAGCTGTAGCAGCAAAGCATTCAATCTCTCCCTGCAGACCACAACAACATAAAACTACAAAAAAAATCAATAAATTGAACTCTCGCGTAGTTTCTTAATATTTCGAACAGTTTTTAATCTCACTCTTTATATTCAAACAGAAGTACTCGCGAGAGCTCCCACATGTATCAAGAGAGTGGAGGGTAATTTTCTTCTAAAACTCGTAATCTCCCGCTCTTGCATATTTTTATGCCCCCACCATAGTATTTAGGGTATATTAAGTTTGTCATTTCATTTGTAACACCTCGAAAAATACATTTTAGACCGCACAAAGTACATATATTCTTGATCAGTATAAAATTCTATGTCGATTTAGATGTCCATCCGTCTGTGGAAATCACTGTTGTTGCAAAATCGTCAGGCAAAATCCCATTATTGTTGTTTTTATAAAAACAACGTTTGTTTATGAGTGGAGAACGATGGTAATGTTTACCAGGGGGTAAGGCAGGGAATACCTAGGTTTCGGAAAGAGCCACCAATCCTCATCAGTTCCCTTGTTTCTTGTCTGGGATATTCTCCCCAGAAGTTCGAACGAAATGAAGTAGGTTGATTGAAAATGGGCCATGTAGGTACACGTATTGGAAAAGCCCCTATATAATGGTACCTCCTTACTTTCGGTATTTTGGTGATTTAAGCGGCATTATTCACCGGAATTGTTTTAAATTTGGTATTTGAAGTTCGTAATAGATACTACAGCCTATGACAGAAAATTGTCCTTGCAGGTTCAAGCCTTCGTATAGCCCCCTAATAATTGTACCTCCCTATATTCGGTGTTTTGATGATTTTAACTACATTATTCACCGATTTTTTATTTATTCATGACAAAAGTCCTCGTCGTCGCATAGACCCTAATATAACGGCTACATTTGATTTTTTTTATAATTTTAAATGGATTTTATTTAAGTATTTATTTATTTATTATTATTATTATTATTATTTTTTTTTTTTTTGAAATTGCCAAATTCGTGGTGGAGGGTATTCAAAGTTCGGCTTAGCCTAACTTTCAACATTTTTAATCCTTTTTATTTACGAGTAAGATCTAAGCAATCACTGGTAACCCAAAATGCCAAATTGCAGCATGTTCGGTTTGATATTTCGCTAGGACCTTAAAATTCTCATTCTCAATGGTGGAGGGCTCAACAAATTTTGAGTGAGAAGAGACAAGACAAGTTTGACTCATATTAATAAATAGAGCATAATATTGATTAGTTGAATAGTATAGGATCTGCTTTTCGAGGACATAGTACTACACCACGTAGATTTGAAATATATAGAAAATTTGGCTAGCAATTTTCTGTAGGGTTATATTTTCCTGAGATAGGATATTTATCGTATCGGCTCTCAATATTGAATTAAAATTAACGGAACATTAGGGCTAATAGTGTCTAGTACGTGCTCATTGAACTCGGTCCCCGACTTGTGGAAAGGGCCGGATCGGGAAGCTTCACATCGACTATAAGATTAAGTTATTGTTCTCAATCCTCCAAGAAATCCCGGATTTGCCAATGACCAGGTCGCCTGAACAATACTGAATACTGAAAAATTCTCTGAAGGATAGGGTGGCTACAATTGTGATACCATCTCCGATTCTAAAGTAGAACTGGGAAATATCAATGGCTAATACATTCAATATTGTTGATTGTTGACTTTCAAAATATGGATTCTACCGGATGAAAAATGTATGGAAGTAGCCCGAAGTTTGAGTATGAATATAGACCTGAATTTAATATTGGCACCGAAATTTTAAAATCACTACTATCAGTAATACCATAGATGATCCGCTTTTTCTCTTCGAAAGAATCGACCAAAATAACTTCCTCAATTGAAAAATTAGTTCTAAATGTGTTTATTTTTTCAAACTTGACAATTTTTTTGCTAATGACGTATAACTTATTTCCCTGCCGACTCTATTTCCTCAAAGTCTATTGCTTAGAAGTTACTTAATTCTATGGCATGTTTTGGCATGTTATTGTGTTACTCCCCTTAGGTTCTATTTAATTTGTTTTTGCAGTTTTTGTTGCTGGTATTCCATGAAGTTTTGTTTGTCCACAATTGTTTTGTTTTTAGTTTATTTTTAATTATCTGATAATGCCGTCAATGTTTTGTTCATTTTTTTCGCCCCTTCTCCTGCTGTGATGCGGCCACAGCCCGCAAAAATGTAAATAAAATTTGCATAATTTTCTGTTGGTTTGTTGTTCGTTTTTTCGCAATTTGTTTCTGGAATAGAAATTACCAGAGCAAATTGATAAAAACTAGAGAGAACAAAAAAAAAAAAAAAAAACGAAGGCATTTCTCACTTTTTTTACTTGAAAAAAATTAACTTCAGGAGGAAAAAAATTATTTGCAGATTGTTTAAAAAAGACTACAATTCAAATTTAAAATTCTCTGTAATCAAGAAATTGTGGTCAACCAGATCAGTTTTTAGAAAATATAAATAAGTTATTTTCGAAATGTTAACATTTTATATTCAATATTCTAAAAAAAGGAACTGGAAATTATATACAAGGTGGGATGAAAAAACTGCAACCAACTTCAGATTGCTGTCATTTCTAAGCCACTCGTCCCACAGCTGTTAAAATTATTCCAGTGACAGCTCAATACAGCTTTTACATGCGTACAAAAGCATTTTGGTGACAATTCTCCAGAAAGAAAGTTATTCGTGATGGAATTCAAGTGTGATAGTGTGATTTCTTCATATTTGGCTGGAAAGCCACAAGCGGCTATCTTTAGAGCACTCCAGCATTTAAATGTGAATAAATATTTTGTGTCTCGTACCATCGCTCGTTACCGTAATACTGGTAGCGTAGTCCAACTTCAAGGAAGTGGACGGCAGAAAACTTCAACATCAGCAGAAATGGTTCGAAAAGTAAAGAAGCGACTTGATCGAAAGCCGCGTCGCAGTGGCCGAAAAATGGATCGTGAGCTGAACATATCCCAATATTCCATTCGACAAATATTAAAAAATTAGCTTCATTGACATTCCAAAAAGTGCAAGAACTTACACTGCAACGGAAAGAAAATAGACTCAAAAGAGCTAAAGAGTTGCTTGGCTTGGCCGAAAGTGGTGAACCGCTGAATTTGGTTTTCTCCGATGAGAAAACATTCGTTGTCCAGCAGATTGTAAACAACAAAATAATGGTGTTTACTAGCCAAACAGGTCAGCTGAGTCCTATTGAAATGTCCAAGGTCTGCGGCCAAAATGTTTGCGTGTCAAAGGCTTTAATACACCCTCCAAAATATTTTTGCTATAATATTCGGCATTTATTCCGATTCCACAATCGATTATTACGAGCGGAGAGCGACCATCGGCTGTTATGGCGGCCCATTAAGGCCGGCGCTTGAGTTCTGGTGGCCAACCGAATGTAATGTGCACATTCGAATAGAACTCAAGCGCCGGCCTTAATGATGGTTTGGCATTGTGACTGGAGTATTTTTGAAAGCAAGGTTGGCACTAAAAAATACCAAAGTTTCGATCACCTCAAGCAAGCGCTTCACCAGGAATGGGCCAAAATACCGCAGAGCAACATTTGGGGCAGCGTTTGACTGTTTCATTGGCCGTTTGAAGGGCATAATTCGTGACAAAGGTGGCCAGTTCGAACAAATCTAAACTGATTCTAAAATTTGATGCTTTTTCCGATTTTTTTGATTTCATTCAATAAAATGTAAAAAAAAGGTAAAAATTATGGCGTTTGATTTTGTTGCAGTTTATTTTATCTCACCCTGCATTTTTGATACCGAGTTATTTAAAATAAATCGACCTGTGTGATACCTGTTTCTAACCCCAACTACTTATCGACATTCAATTCCTTTTTACATTGTTTTCAGTTGTAGCATTCCAGAATTTATATTTTATTTTTTTTTTTTTCGGAAATATAATTTTTTCTAATTTTTGTAGTTTAATTTTAAATTTAATTCTCGATTTTTCATATACATGTAGTTTTCTAATATCTTGAGAAATATTCAATGGTCATGTTTAATGGTTTGCGGGCTTGGGATCTGACTTCAATGCTGCTGTTATAAAAGCCAGGTCCACCTCTAAGGAGTGTGGCATAACCGAAATTCTTTTTGCCACCAAAGTCCAATACCCGTACGGCTGACAACAGCTTAAAGCTTTGATGTCCCTAAAATGAAATAGAAACGCATCGATGGAAATAAATATTATAAATATAAATAATTCCTTATAATAATAATAGTAATGATAATAATAATAATAATAGAAAAATAAAATGATTATAATAATATTCACAATTAAATATGTACAAATACAAAGAAATTTCATCTCCAACATCATCCTACCTTTGGTGGATAATTTACAACCTCCTTATGTTTAGTAAACCAATTGGCCTCATGTTGTACAAAATCTCGGGCAATCAGGTGATCATAGGGACCAATAGTTCCCCACGTAATATTAACGCCGGACACCAATACAAAGCTGGTAGCCAAAATGGAAGCTACCAGAACTGTGTTAAAAATTACACTTTTCATTGTTTAATTTCTTATTAATAAAATTTATATTCTTGTCCGTTTTTTTTTTTTTTGATCTCGCACACAGATGTTTCTTGTTTCAAAATTATCGTCCGTTATATCGCACTACTTGTTTTTATACGACTAGCATCTGGAATTTATCGTGTCCCCTTATCTACGACAATTGCTGGCTGTTTTTTTCGCTCTCTTCCTCAGGTGTGATTCATGTTTATTTTTCCCAACTTCGTTGTCAGTAGTTCGTCTTATCGAAAATACCCGTGAAATACAAAAGGTTTCTGTTTCTGTTTCATTTCTGTTTTTAGAGGCTCTTGTGTAAATATAAACCACACACTCCATAGATATATGAAAGAGTGGAGCTGAGAAGAATTTCCATTTTAATTTTAGAACAAAATCATTTGCTTTTCAATCAGCAAGAACACCCTGTTGTTACAGGGCAATCAATTGCAACGCCTTAATGTATGCTTTAGTTTTAGATGCTAGTGAAAGTGAAGATGGTTTGTTTTTGTAAGAGCTACAGGTATTTAATATCGTAATACGTAATATTTTAGGGAAGAAAATGCGAAATATAAATTTCGGTCCATATTTAGGTAGAGCTCCCAAATAACTATCCTAATATTTCACATTTTGACTTTCCTACCTCGATCTCCAACAAGCTTTAATTTGACAATTCCATTTGTAGAATCGATTCATGGAAATAATTTGTAATTCGAGCCCTCTATTTAACGGTACCTTTCGGTAATAATAATTAGTATTAAATTTCAGTCTCTCTACAAATGTGAATCATGGCTGCAGAAAATTTTTAACTAGCTGGAATATTGTCTATCTAGCGATACCTTTGTGATATCCTATATTTCGAAATTTCCAATCTCTATTTAGAGTCGTATTAGTTGTTAAAGGTATTATAGCATCCTGCCATTTTCAAATTAATTTTTTATACAACTTTAATTTTTTTGCTTATAGCAAGTCGCACAATTATGTAAAAACTTCTGTAAAATCTCTTAATTCTTCAAAATATCCCTTCACCTTTTGTCGTAAAAAATGAATAAATAAAATTGTTGAGCTGAGATCCCCTTAAAAATGTATTATTTACTTAGAGTAAAATTAAAAAGTACTGCTACAATGCTCTGCATTTTAGGATTTTCTCTTTTCAAATTTTTTTTTTAACAGTTCAAAAAACAAAAAAAAAAAAAAAAATAAAAAATCAATTTTGATCCCGAAAATTATTTTTCAAAATAATTAAACATTGATAAATTATGTTTCAGAATTCAAGTTTTCGTCCTCAAGACCTATTGCAAGAGATCCTTAAATACAGGATAATATTAAGAAACTGCAACAAAGTCAATTTTACAATTTTTTATTTTAAATTTTATTGAATGAAAGCAAAAATGTCGGAAATAGCATCAAATTTTAGAATAAGTTTAGATTTGTTCGAATTTTTGTAAGTTCTTGCACTTTATGGAATTTCAATGGCTTCACCCCTATCTAATTTTTCAATATTTACCGAATGGAATATTGCGATACGTTCAGCTCACAAGCTATTTTATGGCCACTGCGACGCGTGTTTCGATCAAGTCGCTTCTTTACCTTTCGAACCATTTCTGCTGATGTTGCTGTTTTCTTCCGTTCACTTCCTTGACGTCAGACTATGCTACCAGTATCGCGGTAACGAGCGATGGTACGAGACACAAAGATTTATTCACATTTAAATGCTAGAGTGCTCTAACGATAGTAACTTGTGGTTTATCTGCCAAATATTAAGAAATCATACTATCACGCTTGAATTCCATCACGAATAACTTTTTTTCCGGAAAATTCTCAGCAAAATGCTTCTGTACGCTTGTAGACAATATAATGAGCTGTCACTGAAATAATTTTAACATCTGTCGGACGAGTGACTTAGAAATGATAGCTGTCTGAAGTTGGTAGCAGTTTTTTCATCTCACCCTGTAACGGTACCTCCCGATATTCAGTATTTTTATTATTTTAGCGACATTATTCACCTGAATTGTTTCAAATTTGTTATTTGAAGTTCGTTATGGATACTACAGCCTATGACAGGAGATTGTCTGTGCAGGTCCACTTTTATGTATAGCCCCCATATAATGGTACCTTCCTATATTTGGGATTTTGAGTTTCGCATTTGAATATTATGATAAAAGTTACATATGCAGCATGTCCATATCGTCGTATAGACCCTAATATAACTGTACATTCGGTATTTTTAAGATTTAAACAGAATTGTTAACGGATTTTTTTAAATTGCAAAATTCGTTCCAAATGGTGGAGGATATTTAAAGTTTGACACGGACGAATTTACAGCTTTTTTACTTGTTAGAATTTGAAATATTTTTTAAGTAATCATTTCATTTTTTCAATTCAGACAAGACCTAAAATTTTATTCGTAAAAATCTACCTTCTGCTGGTTCTCAGAATCGGTGAAATGCTCTTTAAAATTCCCATCTTTTTGTTGTAGATAATTTTTAATTTTTTATTTTATTATGTATTTTAATAAATTGAATCCCGCTTTTTATGCCATGGTAAATTATAAAAAAATAATTATAAATATCCTCTAAAAAAATTAAAATATTTTTTTCTTTACCCAACTAACATTTTATTCCTAATTCTTTCCGAAATCGGTAAAACAAAGTTGTACGAACGTGGTCACTGAAATCGGAAAATTTTTCAAAATCGATCCAAATTCTAGAAGAATCTTAGAGAAACCGATAAATTTCTTTAAAAAAAAAAATTGTTAGCTGGGTAGGTAGTCAGACAAGTGACCTAAAAAGAATATTCGTAAAAATCCGCGTTCTTTTGGTTCTCAGAATTTTTAAAATGCTTTTTAAAATTCCCATCTTTTTGTCGTAGATAATTATACCCTACAACACTATGTGTTGGGGGTATTATAAGTTTGATTGGCCCAAAAATTATGTAACACCTCGAAATATTGGTTTCCCACATAGGAAAGTATATATGGATCTTCCTAGCTCGCCGAGCTGAGTCGATCTAGCTATGTATGTCCGTCCGTCCGTCTGTCCGTCTGTCCATGTTAATTTGTAATCACTCTACAGGTCGTAATTATGACCCGATCTTCACGAAATTTAGAATGTAGGTGGTGCTTGGACCAGAATAGAACCCTATTTCTTTTGGAGATGATCGCCAAATGTTTAGGGGTTGAAATGGACCAAATACTGGAAAAATTTCGGATTTTGAAGTAGCTATACAGGTCGCAATTATAGACCAATCGACGCGAAATTTCGCGTGTAGATAGAGTTTAGGGCGGGGAAGAAGCCTACCAATTTGGTCATCGGATAATATTTAGCGGGTAAAATAGACCATATCTTTTGTGTTGAAAAAAATCAAAATTTTTCATTAAACCGTGAATATTTTAAATCCCGGCGAAATCACAAAGCCATCACAAGGTTACTTCTGACCTTTACATTGATGTTATTATCCAACAAATCGGATATATAGCAAAATATGTGCGATATATATGTCTATCAAAGAAGATATGCTTGAAAGATCTCTTATATGTGGAGAACGGCTGAACTGATTTCGACAGTTCTCATTAATTCAGAATAGCCTCTTGGCAGGAAAGAAAAAACGTCTAAAAAAATCGCATAAAAATATCTCTCTAAAGATGAAAATATTGATTTTGTACAATTTTCTCATATTTTTTCAATTTTGTCATATTTTTGGCATATTTTCATTTTGAATTAAACATTTGGTAATATTTCTACAGCTAACAAAACTAAGTAGTTAGGATATCAGGATATCATATACAGATCGCATTTATGGCCCGATCCTTACGAAATTTTGCATGGGGATAAGATGAGGGTCAGAATAGAAGCCTACTCTTTTTGGAGATTATCGCCATATATTTAGGGGTTGAAATGAACCAAAAAACCGCAAAATTGTCGCCCGATCCTCACGCACATTTAAATGGGGGTTACCGCACATTGCAAAAACCAAGCAGTTTCGGATGGCCATCCAAAAATATTCAATGTGTGAAGGAGTTTGCAACTTTTATAGACAAAATACGAAAATGTCCATTCCAGTGACTTTTTGGAGAATTCACAAACACAGGAAAGACACACTTCCGACTATTTCGTTAACGCTGATTTCGTTGAAGAATATAGTCAAATGTCTGTATCTCATATAGATGCGTTTCAGTCAAAAACCAATAATAAATGTTAATCTTTTGCCACTTCTGAGAGGTTATAGGTCTTTGGGAAATATTGGTTCCAGATCTAGGAAGACCATTTACGTGCAACATCTACCAATAAATTGGAAATGAGCAAATTAGTTAAAGTTGCTATTATTCGAAAAATAGAGAACGAAACCTGATGGTTTTCTTTTATTATTTGTCAAAATATCTTGTGGAATTCTGTCGAGTATTTCGCCTATATAAACTGTATGGTTTATTATAGTGTTGTAGGGTATTCAACGGTCGGCCCCGTTTGACTGTAGCCTTTGCTTACTTGTTTTTATTTATTTTTTTTAAATAAAAACTTTTTCTAAAATCCTTTTTTTGTTTATTTTAATAAATTGAATCCCGCTTTTTATGCCATTGCAAATGATCAATAAATAATCATAATTTACATACTGCAAAAATATCAATTAGTGGTTTTTCCATAAAATTCCATGAACAGCATAAATGCATCCAATAAAAATCCATTCACCTAACTGTCCTTTAGCTTTTTGTGTCGAACACTTTTTTTCTGCGGTTAATTAGATTTAAATAAATTTTGTCAAAGGCCAACTAAAATACACAAAAAAAAAACTCGCAAATAAATAAAATCGCTTTTTAATTGAACCTATTAAATAACTCTTGACTTGTTATTGTTTGTTTAGTTTTTTTTTTTTTTTTTTTTGTAATTTGTTTATATTATTAAACAAATATATTTGTTTTATTACCGCACATTTCTATATGCCATAAATGTCAATAACAAAATTATAGCCATGATTGCGTTGTGACTTCAAATGAATTATGGCAAAGTTGGTGCTTGGTCCACCATCTTTTAGGGTGGCATAGCCGCCATTGCCATTGTCGTATTGGTCGGTGATGACAATTCGTGTTATGGTGCGGCTGTATTGTAAATCATTGGGCTAATAAAGAAACAGTAAACATTTTAGAGTTTTTTCTTATTTGAAGCAAAAATCTTTTTTTACCTTTGGCCTATAAACGAAATCGCCCTCAACAACCTTTACCGGCTTAAATCTCTCCATTGCCGTGTAACGCCCCAAATGTACCTCCCGGGGACTCTGGGCACCAAATGTTACATGATGACTGCCGGAGTTTTCGATATTTTTCGCTGCTGTCGCGCCAAGTGTATGATATGCTAATACACTTAAAACTATGAAAATAATGCGAGACATTTCAAAAAGGTTTTTTTCGCTAACGCTTAATAACACTGACTAAGTTCAGTTTTTTTTCTTCTTTTGTTAGCTGAGCTATTGCGACAACAAATGAGAGTGTTTTTTTTTTTCTACATTTATTTTTTTATCAGTTTGTTTTAAATGTGAACGAAATAGAAACCACAAAACGAACATCAATATCGTTTTAAGCAGAGCGAGAGTGTAAGCAAATAACACTTTCATTAAGCTAGGCAAAGAGATTTTGAAAAAAAAAAAACCAAAAACTACAACAAAACAAATAAATAAACTAATGTGGGAGTTCAAACAGAAAGCTTAGGTCCAACAATAAAGGGTGCAGCAAAAAATGCTCAGCCACAGTTTTTTGAAATTTATTTGAAAATGCGATAAAATCATAGGAAAGGTAGAGATCAATGACAATGCTTCTGAATCATAAATTAAATTGCGAATAATTTGGGAAATGGGAATCTAAGCCCCAAATAAATTTATTGGTGAAATGATATTTAAGAACACATGCTTTGGGCTGTGATACAACCCTTAACATTTCATATAAATTAATACATATTTTTGGAAAGAATAATTTTTAACATCAAAGATTATTGAACTGACGGTGGTTCAAAAAATATTTGAAAATCAGGGTTATTGGCCTTGTAAAAAAAAATCCAATTTGCAACAGAAAAGTAATTACGGTATACTAGACACCTTAGGAAACTTTCGGATTAAGATTTTTCGGAATCTGTGCATTTTGGGTATATATTGTCTTTGGCAATATTGCAGATAAATATACTAGAAATATTTTGGTATTTTGGCGGGTCAACAAAAAAAAAAAAAAGATTGACGTTTTTAAAAGTTTACATCGAAAAGTAACCAAAATAGAGGAGGCAAATTCCCCCCTTCTTGAACACCTTAGGAAACTTTCGAATTAAGATTTTTCGGAATCTGTGTATTTTGGATATATATTGTCTTTGGCAAAATTGTAGATAAAAATACTGGGAATATTTTGGTATTTTGGCGGGTCAACCGAATGGTTTTTTTGGTTGTGCTCTGTTTAGAATATGGTTAATAATTTCCTTTCAATTCAAAATATTCTACAAAATTATTTGTCATACGATTCTACTATAGGTCCTAGAAGAAATGGTCTAAATCTTACCTAAACGCCAGTAATTCATATACAGGGGGAGATAAAAAAATACTGCAACAAAGTCAAACGTCACAAAGTCAAAAGTCAACAATTTTTAATTTTTTTTTTAATTTTATCGAATGAAAGCACAAAATGTCGGATACTGCACTATTTTTTTTAAATATTTTTTAAGATTTGTTCTAACTTGTCACCTTTGGCACGAATTATGGCCTTCAAACGGCCAATAAAACCCTCTCCACACTGCCCGAATGTTACTCTGCGATAGTTTGGCCCATTCCCGGCGAAGCGCTTGCTTGAGGTGATCGACTTTTTGGTATTTTTTAGTGCCAACCTTGCTTTCCCAAGATACTCAAGACGCAATCGTCCAACCAATTGGCGTTCGGATATTTTGGTAGTCATTATGCGCTGGAAATGAAGCGAGGAACCTCATTTTGTAACCATTCTTGGGTGGCGCATGCTGAGTGCGATGGTGCTGAGTCCTGTTGGAATGTCCAAGGTCTGCGGCCAAAATGTTTGTATGCGATAATATTCGGCATTTATTCTGATGCCATGGTCGATTAATACTAACGGAAAGCGACCATGGCCGGTGCTTGAGTTCTGGTGGCCAACCGAAGGTGCATATTTTCAGCTGACGTCTTTGGCAAGTAAACACTATCACTGTTTACAGACTGCTGGTCAACGAATGTTTTCTCATTGGAGAAAATCAAATTCGGCAGTTCACCACTTTCGGCCAAGCAAAGCAACTCTTTAGCCCTTTTGAGTCCATTTTCTTCTGTTGCGGTGTAAATTCTTGCACTTTTTGAAATTTCAATGGATTTACCCCGAGCTCATTTTTCAATATTTGCCGAATCAGCTAACGAGCCATTTTACGGCCACTGCGACGCGGGTTTCGATCAAGTCGCTTCTTCGCTTTTCGAACCATTTCTGCTAATGTTGCTGTTTTCTTGCGTTCACTTCTTTGACGTCGGACTACGCTACCAGTATCACGGCAATCGGCGATTTATTCACATTTATATGCTGGAGTGCTCTAACGATAGCCACATGTGGTTATCCAGCCAAATATAAGGTGATCACACTATCATGCTTGAATTCCATCACGTATAACTTTTTTCCTGGAAAATTTCAACCAAAATGCTTTTGTACACTTGTAAACAATATAATGAGCTGCCACTGGAATAATTTTAACAGCTGTCGGACGAGTGGCTTAGAAATGAAGTTTGCTGCAGCTTTTTCATCTCACCCTGTATATCTTTATCCGATTTCACGTTTTATGCACTCAGAGTGTAATGTCAGCTCTAGTACCACTATTTTGGTGAATATCAGTTGAGAAACAAATGTATCCCTCAAATTTAGAAGAAATCGATTTTGAGGAGGATATACCTCCTATATATTAGTTCCCTTCGTCTTTAAAATATAACTGCTTTAAAGCCATAATACGCATTAAGAAACGATCATGGTTGGTATGATCTAATTCTCATACATTTTTCATAAAAAACGTTTGTTTGTTATGGGTAGCTCTACTAAATGTGCATGGTGGTGTAGGGTATCATAAAGACTTAACCGTCTGACTTTTGGGCTGTCTTTACTGGTTTACATTGTTTTACATTTTGTTTGTTGCTTATCTTTAGCTGCTGTCTATTTCGTTCTTTCAAGCTGTTTATGTCATTTTGGGAAATTTTCACTAATTAGCCACAAAGCTCAAAACTCTAACAGCAAATTATTATCAATTGTGTTTTATATTTTACCCTACTACTTTACATATTTCGAAGGTTTAAGTCACACAAAGGTCAATACGAAGTGTAGTTGATTTAATTATCTGATCTAAGTTGGAAAGCCTCGCTTTAAAAAGCGAAAAGCCTGGCCGAGCCGTTTGCACTTTCCACCATGAGAGAAAAAACAAAAGCACATTTTTTTGTTTTAGAAAATCTGTTACTGAATACGGAATTTTAAAGTAATCTTGTTCATTGAAACATAGATGTAGGGGAGACTGTATAGGAAAAGAAAATAATGCGTCAGAGACAAATATTCCACTCCATGAAGATATCGGTGGAAATAGTTCACTGCCAGGTCTTATAGATGACGACCTCTAATTTATATTTGTGATATTGAACAAGTAAAAAAGCTGTAAATTCGGCCGGACCGAACTTTGAATACCCTCAACCATTTGGTACAAATGTGGCAATTAAAAAAAAAAACAGTTAAAATTTTAAAAATACCGAAAGTAGCTGTATATTAGGGTCTATACGACGACGTGGACCTGCATAGGCAATTTTTATCATAAGCTATTACAATATTCAAATGCGAAACTTGAAAAACATATGTTTATAATGTAACTAAAATCATCAAATTACCGTATATAGGGAAGTACCATGGGGTTTCTAAAAGGTAGACCTGCTCAGACAATTTTCTGCCATAGGCTGTTGTATCCATTACGAACTTCAAATACAAAATTTGAAATAATTTCGGTAAATAATGTCGCTAAAATCATTAAAATGCCGAATATCGGGGGTACCGTTGTATGGGGACTATACAAAGACGTGGACCTGCACAGACAATTTTCTGTCATAGGCTGTAGTATTCATTACGAACTTCAACTACCAAATTTGAAAAAGTTCCGGTTAATAATGTCGCTAAAATCATTAAAATGCCGAATATCGGGGGGTACCATAATATGAAGGCTATACGAAGACGTGGACCTGCACAGCCAATTTCCTGTCATAGGTTATAGTATTCATTACGAACTTCAAATACCAATTTTGAAACAATTGTGGTAAACAATGTCGCTAAAATCTTCAAAATTCCGAATATCGGGAGGAACCGTTACATGGGGGCTTTACCAAAACGTGGACCTGCATGCGTAACAAACATTTGAGTAACATTTGAACAATCTACTCCAATTCGTTCGGAAGCTAGAGTGATTTCCACAGACGCGCAATTTTTCCCAAAAATTATACATTGCGGAAAATAGATAAAAAAAGTAAAAAACTGTAAGTTCGACCGGGCCAAACTTTGAATACCCTCCGTCATTTGGAACGAATTTTGCAATTTTCAAAAAAAAAAAAAAAATAATAATAATAATAATAAAATCCGTCAAAAATTCTGTTCATATCTTTAAAATACCGAATGTGGTCGTTATATTAGGGTCTATACGACGACGTGGACCTGCATAAGAATCATAAGCCATTACAATATTCAAATGCGAAATTAAAAAAAAAATCGGTGAATAATGTAGCTAAAATCGTCAAAATACCGAATATCGGGAGGTACCGATATATGGGGGCTATACCAAAACGTGGACCTGCACAATTTTCTGTCATAGTCTCTAATATCCATTACGAACTTGAAATACCAAATTTTAAACAATTCCGGACGGACATCGTTAAATCGTCATAGATTTTTATGCTGATCAAGAATATATATACTTTGTGTGGTCTAAAATTTGTATTTCGCGGTGTTACAAACGGAATGACAAACTTAATATACCCTCCATACTATTGTGGAGGACACAAAAAGATCAAAGCGACCCATAATGGCCTTAATCAATGACTCACAGATTTTCTAATTTGGATTTTAGAGGGTTTTATTTAAGGGGTTTAAAACGTTACACTTAGTATTTTTCTTAAATTTCAAGCTTCATCCACATAAGACGGGAAAAATGTTCCTAATTACCTCGAACTTTCTGAACAATCGGAAAAAATGCAGCATTATTGATATATATATATATATATATATATATATATATATATATATATATATATATATATATATATATATATATATATATATATATATATATATATATATTTATCGTCAACATGCAGTTGTTATCAATTTTTAATAATGACAAAACAGCAGATAATAGGGCATGTCAAATTTCCAATAACCAAAATCGCTGATAGGCATTCTGAGTATTTCAAACACATCTTTCGTACTTTGTGATTACAAAATTTCGACAGATGATAGCTGCCACAAATGACGCTGTAAAAATTAGGTCACCCACATTATCATTACCGTAACAAAGATACAACTTCAAATTGCTATAAATATGAAAGTTAGGCAAAGAAAAGCATACACATCTTCGCTGGCTTCCAGAGCAATAACATCAATTACAGTTGAAAAAAAAATCGTTTCTCTTTAAAAAAAATGGCCAAATTCTTGTGTCTCACCTCTTTTGTTGTTGCTGCCGCCATTGTCACACTGTGCTCGGCCAATGGCAATGACTATCAATGGGGTACAATTGGTGCTGCGGACAAGTTAATGGCCAAGGAAGTGGTGTTCAAACCAGGATTTTTGGGTACCGTTACCACCCATAATTATGTATATCAACAAGTGGTGAGTTTGTGGTGATTTAAAAATTTAATTAATTGCGTTGAAAAAACATTTTGTTTCTGTTTCCATTTGTTTAATCTATAGGGTGCAGCAGCTCCTTTGACAATCAAAGCAATTAAAATCACCGACAAAAAGAAGTTCAAAGGAGCAACTGCTGTTGTTGCCAGTGGCGGTGTGGGTTCAAGTGACGTCACCATTACCTTCACGAGCTTGAGAGGTTCCGGCATCAAGAGTTTGGTTGAAATCTATGGTTCATAGATTGTTTTAATGTTGGTCTATTTTTTCGACTGGATTTTTTACACGTCTAGGCAATAAGTTTTATTTTGGAATATTTTTTTTTTGTAAATCTGTAATTAATTTTGTAAAAAATAATAATAAAAAAATTAATTTTTTAAACAAAATGGGCCTCTTTTCGAATTTTCTAGTTCTTGTTTGTTTAGAATTCTGAATTCTTGAAACTCGCACATTATCTTTCAAGAAATACCTGAATGCTTTTAAAATATTTCCATGGATTTTTCGAAAATATTTTCAAGGTCTTCTAGGCTGAATATTTATTTTGAATTGTTTAAACAACTTTAAAGAGCTTCCTGTTAATTTGATCTGAACTACTTTCTGGATATAAATCATTGGTTAGGATTTTTTAAGGTAATTCCGACCAAAAATATAGGATTTTTAGGAATATTTTCTAAAAAGTCTTTGTTTTTTAAGAAAAATGTCTCGAGGACATTCCGACTGAAAATTGAGAGCATTTAAAGAATATCTTAAAAATTCCTTTCCGGTGTACTTATTAAAGGGCAATTCTAACAAAAATAATTTATTCCGGAAAATAGTTTAAAACAAGTATAAAAACTGTAAGTTCGGCCGGGCCGAACTTTGAATACCCTCCGCCATTTAGAACTAATTTGACAACTTTCAAAAAAAAATAAATAAATAAATAAATAAAATAAAATAAAAATAAATAAATAAATAAATACAATAAAATCCGTTAAAAATTCTGTTCATATCTTTAAAATACCGAATGTGGCCGTTATATTAGGGTCTATACTACGACGTGAACCTGTATAGGCAACTTTTGTCATAAGCCATTACAATATTCAAATGGGAAATTAAAAAAAAAAAAAATAATGTAGCTAAAATCATCAAAATACCGAGTATAGGGAGGTACCGTTATATGGGGGCTATACCAAAACGTGGACCTGCACAATTTTCTGTCATAGGCTTTAGTATCCATTACGAACTTGAAATACCAAATTTTAAACAATTCCGGTGAATAATGCCCCTAAAATCATCAAAATGCCGAATATCGGGAGGTACCGTTATATACCTCCCTATACCTATCGAAGGCGTGGACATGCACAGACAATTTTCTGTCATAGGCTGTAGTATATGTTACAAACTTCAAATACCAAATTTTAAACAATTCCGGTGAATAATGCCGCTAAAATCATCAAAATACCGAATATCGGGAGGTACCGTTATATACCTCCCTATACCTATACGAAGGCGTGCACCTGCACAGACAATTTTCTGTCATAGGCTGTAGTATATGTTACAAACTTCAAATACCAAATTTTAAACAATTCCGGTGAATAATGCCGCTAAAATCATCAAAATACCGAATATCGGGAGGTACCGTTATATACCTCCCTATACCTATACGAAGGCGTGCACCTGCACAGACAATTTTCTGTAATAGGCTGTAGTATATGTTAAAAACTTAAAATACCAAATTTTAAACAATTCCGGAGAAAAATGCCGCCGAAATCATCAAAATACCGAATATCGGAAGGTGACCCATTTTCAATGCCAATTAGCCTGCATGTAATATTAATCTTGATGTCAATTTGCAAACCTCTAAAATAAATAATAAGAAGTCTATCGTATATACTTTATTGGGTTTTCGAAGAATATTTCGAGGTGTCAAATTTAATATACCCTCCATTGTTTGGTGGAGGATATAAAAATTCAGAATATTACTAAAGACATCAGCCATTATAGTTGTTTAACGTATGTATAACATTCATTTTTCTTGAAGACATACGAAAGATCCTCCCATGCCTACCAAGACAACACATTTTTTCCTGTCCAAGCTCAAATTGCTAATGCTTATTTTTTCTCTTTTTTTCCAGCTCCCTTGGCATTAAATCGCCATTCATTGAGTTTCGCAATGAATTCGAAGTGCTGGCCAACAACAGCATAGCCCTGAACATTACCAAAGATGAACAGGCGTTAATGCATCAGGAGGGCCTCAGAAAATTGGGTACCTTTATAAAACCCGTTGACTTAAGAGATTCTGAGACGGGGTTTGTCAAGGCAAATCTTACCAAAAAGATTGCTACTCCCATGCCACAACAGAGAACACAAACACAGCGGAGGATGCATCCCATACAAGAGGAAATGGATCAAAAGCAAATCATTCTACTCGATGAAGATACCGATGAAAATGGTTTGCCGGCCAGTCTAACCGATGAGGATCGTAAATTTATTGTACCCATGGCATTGAAAAATTCCCAACCAGATCCTCGATGGGCACAGTCGATGGCCCGCAGTTCAATGCTCTCAGCGCCAACGGCAAAGCCTAGCACTACAACGACAACGAAAAAGCCCACCACTCCGGCCACACCAGAATTTGCCTCGAACATAGAAGACCTGAAGAAACACATTTTGTTCCTGCAGAATCTCACAAAGCATGATAGTAATTTTCAATCGAAATTTGTGGTCTTTCCCAGTCTGCAGAAGGACAAACAGGGTAGGCCAATAACAACGACGAGCACCACAACCACAACGGCATCGCCGAAGGTACCATTTCGTCCCATCTATCAGTATTCAGCACCAGTATTACCGCCCACTAGGAAGTCATCAATTAACATAAATAGTAAAATTTCACATTCACCACCCTTTGGGGGTTACTACCACAATGACGATGATGAGGAGTCGCTGTCTGCCTTCCTGCAGCCGGTCAATAATAATGGCAAGGATAAAATTGCCATTGTGCCACAGGTTCTACTGCTAAATGATCAAAACAAAGATCGCAGAATGCCGGTGGCAACCACAACAACAAGTACAACCACAACGACAACAAGCACTACAACAACAACAACCACCACAACGACAACCAGACGTCCCACAAAACCCACCAAACTGCCACCCTGTGTACGTAATCCGGAGGCGCCCAAGTGTATACGTTTGCGTAAACGTGAAGAGCTGCAGAGGCAAAGGGATCGTGAACAACTGCTGAGAGAACAAGAGAAGTACTGGCCACGCTATGAACCCTATCGCCAGACCATTAACAACACCAAACGTTTTGCCGTCTCCATTGAAATTCCCGACTCCATTAAGGCCTATTTGAATGAAACGAAAAATGCCAAAAATCTGGATGGTAGCGGGGGTATTGCGGAGGAAAATCTACAAATCCTCTCACGTTTTGTAAGATCCACCCACAAAAGACGTAACATTGGTGGTGGCCTACAGGGACGTTCCACGGCCAGTAATGATAAATTTGCCTCAAAATATGGTACTGGTGCTTTTTTAGATCGAGATTCGGTGGCATCATCCACCGGCGGTAGAGATTTTGTAATACCCAATGCCGAGCAGATGGGCATGATGGCGGCCAATGCAACAACGCCCAGTCCAACGGTGCCACCCTACTCCGAGCCATTGGATTTAAATCCAGATAATTGTTATCTGGTCGATGGCATGAGCTATGGCCAGAAGAAACAATGTGTGCTGCACACAAGTGTGATGCCGGCCATAAGTCGTGGGGCCAGGGCCACAATACAGGTAGGTGGAAAATAGTGAGGATAGATACTTTAAAATTAACATTGTTTAAGGTTTTTATTTATTTTTTTATTTTTTCTTTTTTAATAAATCGGAATACCCGAGGGCATATTTCGAGCCGATCTCTGGAGTTTTGAGGATTTCTGATAATGATGAATAGATTTTTTTGGTTTATTTCTTATAAAAAAAAACCCTTTAAAAATTTAGTTGAGATTTTACAATTTTGTTTGTGCCTGAAATACTCCTAGTCCAAGTGGTTAAAGATTCTAGGAATACTACATAGGAATAGTGAAACTAATACCTCACCAGAATTGGTTTTTAGCAAGGGTACTGCGATATTTTTTTATACATTTGGCTGACTTCGAATCCGACTCTAGTGAAAGAAAATGAAACCCTGGGTTTTGATTAAATTGATCCTTGGACGACTCCAGTTCAAGACCTGTAGACTGTCTGTCTGAAGTTGCTCTAGCCTGTCACATAGCAAATTTTCAATGCTTTTGTCTTGGTCCTCCCTCTTTAAATTTTATTTTGTACATCCATTACCTCATTCCTCCAAATTCTTCCGGAATACCCACAAAAATGTTTTCTTTTCTTAAATATTCTCTTAAAATTCCTTTCCCAATTTCATCTCTCAACCGCGCAACACGCAACTCATATCCTTCAAGCATTTCAATTCAAAGCTAATCCATCATATTTGTCATAACTTCGAAACTACAACTTCTATTTTTTTTGGTTGTGGGCTGAATGTGTTGTGTGCGACACAATCACCACTCGTTTTAATGTGGGTCTGACAAAAACATCCGACGCATGCATGTACGGTGGCTAAGCCAAAGCCATCACGGGCGCTTACTCTCAAACACACACACACACAAGATAACAAAGAATCCGCCGCACATTTGTCAAAGAGAGAGTATTGCCTGTTTGAAGGACCAACATGTGTGAGCTCCTCGAATTCGACCAGCTAACATGCAATTGCTCAAATCCCACAAAGGGAAAACATGACAAAATCAAATATGAACGAACCAAACGCTGCCGTCCGTCAGTCGCATTGTATGGAAATGACATATCGCTAACGATGTCAGCAGCGTTATATCGTTAACGATGATGTCGTTGATTTTGTTGTTGTTCGTGATGTTGCTCAGTTGAAAACTTATGCCGCTATTAAGCAAAATGAAGCGTGGGTGGGGAGGGGGCCATAAAGGGGTTCCTGGAAGTCCTTTCAATGAAGACATAAATGAAATAAACCGAAATTGTGAATATGTCTCCATTTGGGAAATTTACTCAAACACACACACACTCACATAACAACAAGAATTTGTGGGAAAGAATGTGGTTAACATTAACGTAGGCGAAGGAGGACAGTGGGGCGAAACCATCTAAACATACAAAAGAGTTGTGAAATAACTGACTGATAATCAATGCCCAGACGAAATGGCTGAAGCTAGTAGGCTGGATTCTGGAAATCCGTACAAAAAGGGTACGAAAGGTATAATGAACTGAATATTTAATATTTGGTATTTGACAAACTGAAAGTACTAAAATGTATAAAAAATTGAATACTTTGTATTGGAACCAACGTGCTAGAATTCTAAACTTTGGAATGAGAGTCACTGCTGAAGTACAGGATAGCTGTATCAAAGGGTATTTGGAAATTCAAATTTGAAGGTTACGAAAAGTTCTTAAATGGTATAATTTCGTATTATGTTAACGAAAAGAGCTAAAAATGGAATTGAAATTTAGTATGAGAATCAAGCCTGGAAAATAAGTTTGATATATGATGTTGGTTTTGGAAATGTGTGTTAAGTGTGTGAATTGTACTAAATGGTACTAAATTTGGAACAGTTTGGTTTAGGGTGAACGGATGAAGCTGGAATTTTGAAATTTCGTATTGGGTTCCCTGTGGGTGATAGGTTTGTGTTAAAGAGGTGGTTTCGGAAATGCGTCATTAATTTGTACGAAAAGTACTAAATATTACTTTTTTTTGATGTTAGGCGAACAGATAGTGCTTGAAATTATTGTTCATGTGTAGCCTGGACATATGTATGTGGTTGCGGAAATGCGTACAATAATTGTACGAAAAGTACTAAATGGTACTATATATGGGATTTAGGTGAAGGGATAGAGTTCAAATTCTGACATTTGATATTTAATTTACTGAAGGTATCTGTGTTTGGGATTTGGCGGTGGTTTGGAAATGCGTCCTTTATTTGTACAAAAAATACTAAATGCTACTTTATTTGGTATTGGCAAAAGAAATATAACTGGACTCCCGATATCTGATATAGAGGTCTCTGTTGGTATCTGGGATAGAGATTTGGGGATGGTTGGGAATTGTGTACTATATTTGTACAAAAAAGTACTAAATTGTACTAAATTTTGTATTGAATGAAAGGACAGAGTTGGAATCCTTAAATTTGATATAGAGGTCTCTCTTGGTATCTGGAGTTGTGATTTGAAATTGTGTTCTACAAAAAGTACTTTATAGTACTAAATTTGATATTGAGTGAAGGAATCGGGCTGGAGTCCTCGAATTTGATATTTAGGTCCCTGCTAGTATCTAGAATTGAGATATAGAGCTGGTTTTGGAAATGTGTACTAAATTACATGAAAAGTACTAAGTGGTACTAATTTTGGTATTGAATGAAGGTATGGAACTGGAATTCCAAAATTTAATATGGGGGGTATCTGGAATTGAGATATGGAGGTTGTTTTGGAAATGCGTTCTATATTTGTACAAAAAGTATTGAATGATACTTTATTTGGTATTGAGTGAATGTATAGAGCTGAAATCCTGAAATTTGATATGGATCTTACTGTTGTAGTCTGCGTATGGAGATGGTTTTGGGAATTTGTACAATAATTGTTCGAAAAGTACTAAGTGCTACTAGATTGGGTATATGTGTTGAAGGTATAGAGCTGGAATCCCAAAATATTATATAAAAATCTCTATTGGCATTTGGAATTGGGATTTTGGAGCATATTGTATTTTTATACCCTTCACCACAAGGTGGTCAGGGTATTATGTTATTGTGCATTTGATTTTAACAGGCAAAAGGAAATGAGATAGACCCATAGTTCCTTTTGATGATCGGCATAGAATCACATGCATGTCCGTCCGTCCGTCTGTTTATTGTGTTTTTGTAAACAATGTACAGGTCGCATTTATTACCCGATACATATGGAATTTTGCACAAACGATCAAATTAGGCCTGAAAATAAGTATGCCAAATTTCAGATATAGCTATAGCTCCCATACATATTTTTCATCCGATTTGTTATTTTTGTCCTACGCAGCCATAATATGCACTTTGTAACAACGATATTTTGGAAAATATATCAAATATAGCTCAGAACTACTTATGCCAAATTTTGTAGATATCGGTTCAAATGTGGATATAGCTTCCATATATATCTTCTTCCTATTTGCCTTTTATTTTGCACCAAAGATTTAATATAAGCCCAAATGGGATGGAATTTGGCACTTACGACCAGATTGAGTCTAGGAACTACGATGTCAAATTTGGTGAAAATCGGTTCAGATATAGCTGTAGATCCCGTATATATTGTTCATTCGATTTTTATACATTTGTTCCCCACAGCCGTGATATGCACTCCGTAACAATGATATTCAGGGAAATATATCAGATACACCTCAGAAATACCCTTGCCTATTTTTATCGAGATCGGTTAAGATTTGCATATATAGCTCCCATATATATCTTTATCCGATTTCAAGTTCATTGTAAATGAGTCTAAATTTATCGAGGCATTTGTGTATTTTGAATTCAGACTTTTATTACGCATTTAATATTATCTAGTTAATTGTGCACAACTAGATAATATTAAATGCGTAATAAAAGTCTGAATTCAAAATACACAAATGCCTCGATAAATTTAGACTCATTTACTTTAAATTATAACTTTAATCGTAGTTGGTATGATTTAATTCTCACAAATTCCCCAAAAAGACTTAAATTTGTTTAGTGAAGCCCTACTAAATATGCCAAGTGGTGTAGGATATCATAAAGTCTGCCCGCCCGACTTTAAGACTTTCTTTACTAATTTCCATGATATGTGAAAATCATGGTCACTTTAAATGTGCGGGTTTTACTGGTAGACAATTTGATGTAATAACTGATAGAAAAAATGGACTTCGCTGGGCGTGCATAAATTGTAGGTCCTTGGAGGTTGATTTTTACCGTCTATTTAAGGAGTCTAAAGTCGAAATTGCAAACATGAAGAAAGATTTTGAATCTGTTTACTCTCGCTTAAACTATTTTGAAAATATGTATAATAAATTTGAGTATCCTGATGGTTCGCCCAAAAGAAAAAAATCTTCAGCTATTATTTCTGGTAATAACTTAATATCGCTAAATTCACCAGTTGTTGCCCCGCTACAAAATAATACTGAAAATTTATCTTCAGACAACCATCTGGCGCCTCCGTTGCAATTTGCATCTTCGCCATCCAGCAGGTCATCACCGGCTGTTTCTAATACAAGTGAAAGTCGGAGTACTCAGATCGAAACCTTATCTTCTGAAGCTCCATCTAATGTCCAGCAAAATCCACATAATTTGCATAGCGTCCCCCCTATTTTTGTAAGTGATTATACGTCAAATCCTACAGCACATCCACCATTGCAATGTGCTTCTCTTCCTTCTAGTAGCCTAATTGTAGTTCCTCCTAGAAAAAGCGTATTTATATCTAGATTGCATCCTAGTACTACAATAAATATTATAAGTGCTTATGTTAAATCTAAAATACATAATCTTGAAGAAAGTGATTTTAAAATTTTTAAGTTTAATTCCTCCTCTGCTCGTGAAATTTCATCGTTTAAGCTTGTTGTTTCCAAAAACATATTCGATACTATTATTAATAGTTCATTCTGGCCCGATGACATTTTAGTAAAAGAGTTTGTATACAGAGAAAAGCGTAACGCACTTAATCCTGTCCGTACTTCTAACGCTATGCAAGCTTCAAAAAACTAATAGAATCTGATTCGT